CTCATTTCTAAAATATATAGAGAACTGAGTCAAATTTATAAAAATACAAGTCATTCCCCAATTGATAAATGGTCAAAGGATATGAACAGGCAGTTTTCAGAGGAAGAAACTAAAGCTATCTATAGTCATATGAAAAAATATTCTAAATTACTATTGATTAGAGAAATGCAAATCAAAACAACTCTGAGGTACCACATCACACCTATCAGAATGACCAACATGACAAAACAGGAAAATGATAAATGTTGGAGAAGATGTGGTAAAATTGGAACACTAATGCATTGTTGGTGGAGTTGTGAAATGATCCAACCATTCTAGAGAGCAATTTGGAACTATGCCCAAAGGACTGTAAAACTGTGCATACCCTTTGACCCAGCAATACCACTTCTAGGCCTGTATCCCAAAGAGATTATAAAAATGGGAAAAGGACCCACATGTACAAAAATATTTATAGCAGCTCTTTTTGTGGTGGCAAAAAATTGGAAATTGAGGGGGTGCCCATCAATTGGGGAATGGCTGAACAAGTTGTAGTATATGAATGTAGTGGAATACTGTTGTGCTGTAAGAAATGATGAGCAGGCAGGCTTAAAAAAAAACAAAACCTGGAAAGACTTACATATACTGATGCAGAGTGAAATGAGCTGAACCAGGAGAACATTGTATACATATAGTAACAGCCACACTGTGCAATGACTGACTGTGATAGGCTTGGCTCTTCTCAGCAATGCTGAGGATCTAAGACAACTCCAAAAGACTTACAATGGAAATTGCTATCCACATCCAGAGAAAGAACTTTGGAGTCAGAATACAGATGGAAGCATACTATTTGCTCTCCTTTTCCTTTGTTGTTTTGTTTCATTTCTTCATTCTCATGGTTCCTCCCATTAGTTCTGATTGTTCTTTACATCATGACTAATGGAAAAATATACTTAATATGAATGTAAAAAAAAAAGAAAAGAAAATAGCAATAGCTAACATTTAGAGTCTTTAAGGTTAGTAAAAACATTTTACATATCACCTTTTATCATTACTGCAGCCCTTAAAACTAGGTACTCTAGGTATTCCTATTTTACAGATGAAACAACCTAAGAGAGTTAGAGTTGTTAAATGACTTACCCATAGTCAAATTGTCAGAGGTGGGATTTGAACCTCTGTCTCTCTGGATTGCAAGTCTAGCACTTCTTCGACCAAATCATACTGCCTTTCCAAAATGAAGAGGCTGGATTAGATGAACTAAAATTGTTCTTGATATATTGGGGATAAGAATAGGACCAACAAAGAGATAGGTATAGGTTTAATACTTGGGATGGATGATAAAGAACTCCCAAAACCATTATTTTGCTTTTTTGTTTGTTTGATTGCCAAGGAAAATTGTCTTTATTTTGTAAATAACAGAATAAAAGTCAAACAGAGAAAATGAAGAAGGCTAATTAGGGAGATAATAAAAGAGCACTTAGGCACTCTTAATGAATTTAAGTCACCAGGCCTAGATGAACTATATCCCAGGTGCCGAAAGAATGGGCAGATATGATTGAGAAAAGGAGAGAACTTATGCAATTGGGGAAGTAGATGATGTTCCAGTTTTCAACAAGGGAAGAGAATAGAGAATGCAAACTTCAGGCTAGTAAGCTCTACTTCTCTTCCTGGCAAAGTTCCAATTCTAGAACAAATTATTAAAGTGATAGTTAATGAACTTCTAGAAAAGGAAGATGTGATCCCCAAGAACCAGAGTGATTTCATAAGAACAGGTCATGCCAGACTAACCTCATTTTCCTTTTTTTTTTTTTTGACATGGATACTAAAACATATATCAGGGGGATGCTGTAGACATAATTACCTAGATTTTAGTAAAACATTAGTCAAAATCTCTCATGCTCCTTATGGAAAAGATGGAAAGATGTGGGCAAGACAGTAGTTTAGTTAGGTAGTAAGTAGTTCATTAAGTATCTGGTAGGTGGATTGAGAAGTGGGTTGAAGATTAGTCATTAAGGATTCCGTGTCAACTTGGACGGAGAACTTGATAAGAGTATCTTGTGGATCCAGGCTTGGCTATGGTTTTTTCCATTGAACTTCTCAGGTTGGGGGGATATTTATAAATTACTTGGATAAATGAATGACTGCAAAAGCATTTATTAAGCATGTACTATGCATAAGCACTGGAAACACATCAAAAATCAAGACAGTCTTTCCTCACAAGGAACTAATTTATACTCTTAACTGAGAGACAACACATAAAAGAACTAGGAGTAATGAATACAAGGTTTAGGGAATCAGGTTTTTAAGTGTGGTTTCTGCCTTCAGAGCCAGGCTCTTTCCACTATATCACACTGCCTCTCAATTTCAGCACCTTGGTGAAGGGAAAGTAATGCTGGATTGAGTATCAAGATGCTTGGGTTTGCTTAATGTTGGAGAAAATAATCTAACTGTTCCAGAGCTGTCCCAGAGTGGAATGGGCTTTCTCCAAAGAGCCTGGGTTCCCCTTTTAGAGAGGTCTTCAAGCGAGGGCTGGGTGTATTGGCTACGAGAAGATTCTTTTTTCAGGCATGGGTTGAACCAGATGACCTTTCAGGTCTTCCAACTGTGACAGTCTGTGATTCAGTGATTTCTTAGGTCTTTTCATTTTGAACATTGTACTGCTTCGTATTTACCTTTCCATAAATACATGCCTTGTCTTAAGGTGTAAACTCATGCGTCCTGTTTCTTTGTATTCCTCATAGCACACTCAGTTCAAGACTTTGCCTGTGGCTAACACTCATAATAATAGTTGACAAACAGCTTTGAAAGAATTAGGGACTGTGATCAAGGTAATAACTAATCGCTATTTCAGAGGACTAATGATGAAACAGGCAGCCCACCCCCTGATGGAGAAGCAAAGATCTCAGAGTGCAGAATGAAACACGGTATTTTTGGACATAGCCAATGTAGAAATTTGTTTTGCTTAGCTATGCATATTTGTTATAAAAGTTTTTTTCCTTACCCTCTTCCTCTTGTAACAGGGATTTTTTAAAAATTCTCAATAGAGTTGGGGGAAGTGAGCAGTAAAAGAGAGAAGGAAGATTTTTTTGCTAATTGAAATATATATATGTGTATGTATATATATATTTATAATTTTTAGAAATAACAGCTGACATGTATGTAACTCTTAAACTTTACAAAGTTCTTTACATACATAATTTGGTGATTTAATAAAAATAATAGCAGCTAGTATTTATATAGAACTTTAAGGCTTACAGAGCACCTTATAAATATTATCTCAGTGAATCCTCACAACAGCTCTATGAGGTATGTACTATAATTATCTCTATTTTACAGATGGGGAAACTGAGGCAGACAGACATTAAGTAACTTGCATAGGATCACATAGCTAGTAAGTATCTAAGGTAGAATTTGAACTCAGATTTTCTTAGCTCTAGATCCAATGCATTAGCCACTGTTATTATCTGACCGGGGGTGGAGGTGGAGGGTAACTCAGCAGCATGAAATCCGCCTGTTACTCACACATATATCCTCTGCTTCCCTGTGTTCAAGCGTATCTTTCCCTGTTTTATTGGTTTTATCTGAGTTATGACACAAATAGATCTATCCTTTGTGTGTCTGATCTTACCAAGGATTACCTGGTATAAGAGATGAGACATGCTTAGTGGGGCCATACCACCTGTGTGACCTTGGACAAGTCATAGTGGACTAATTTTTCTGGGCTTCAGTTTTCTTCATATTATATAAAATGGAGGGGGTGGACCAAATCCTTTCTAGATCTAAAATCTTATGATCCTAATACAATATTTTAATTACTAGCCAGTCTATAGACTCCAAAATTTATTTTGTTTCTATAATAAATTTTATTGAAATGTCATGCTCATCTCTGACTATGCTCCTCCCTCCTCTCCTCTCCCACACACAAAAGAAACCTGCCTTCTAACAAAGAAAAACAAACAGCTAAGCAAAACCAACCAACTTAGTGACATAATCTGACAGTACATACTGCATTCCATGCATGGAGCTCCCCTTGCCTACCTCTGCCTAAAGGAAGATTGTGCTTCCTCATCTCTTCTCCAGAGCCAAGATGGGTCATACCAGTTACTCAACTTTCAGCTTTGTTTATGTTATTGTAGTCTCTATGGATATTGTTCTTCTGGTCTTGCTTCACTCTGCTTCCATCATACAAGTCTTCTCATTTTCCTCTGAAATCCTTACAGTCATCATTCCTCAAGGTGTATTAGTGCTCTATTATATTTTATGGATATATGAATATTTATGAGTATAGTGATTTAGTGAACCATTCCCTGAATCTGTGGTCATCTTCTTTATTGCCTATTTTTCTGTGCTTTTTTTTTTTTTGCAATGTTTTAGACAAAACATGCTACTATGAATATTTTTAGGGGTGTGTGGGTGTGTGTATATGGGAGAGAGAGAGAGAGAGAGAGAGAGAATCCTCACATTATTTTCGTATCAGCCCTGTGAGGTGAGTCATGAGGGTATGGATTATCATCACCATTTTGACAGATGAGAAATTTGAAACCCAAAACCATACAGTGAATTAGTGGTGGGACTAGAACTCAAGTTTTTTTCCTCTCAGGTTAGTGCTACTATGTTGGGCCCTAAGTTGTACAGCAAAAATCTCCCTCTTTTTCTCCCCCAAATTTAAAGGAATTTTGTGTTTCTTATATCTTCGTATATTTTTTTGTGTGTCTTTTGTCCCTTTGAGAATGAAGGAGGGTAGGGATCCAGATCTAGTATTTCACTGATGTGAAGAGCTCCTAGAGTGTAAATTCCTTCCATCAATGCAGTTCAGCAACTCTTAGGGAATTACCTTGGGGCACTAAGAGGGTAAGTGACTACTGATATGTATCAGAGGCAAAGCTTGAGCTCAGGTCTTCTTACCTCCAAGGCTTAGGTCTCTGTCTACCATACTGTGCTGCCTGTAAAAGTCAGCTAGGTGGAAGGGGAAGCAAGAAAGGGAAGGATGATGATTTAATCACCCTTCTTCCATTTCTCCCCAGGCATCCCACAGGCAAAGCTGAAGATGGGTCTCGAACCTCTCCTTTCCATCTTGATCTGTGGTTCTACTTGACATTACAGAACTGGATTCTGGATTTTGGCCGCCCCATTGCCATGGTGAGTAGGAAACTATGGAAGTTTATGTGGAACAAATTGTCTGCCATCAATGTCAAAAAGAGACATTAGATATGTTTGCTTACAGAATCGTCTCATTTTGCTTCTTGGCTCGGTAAGTCGGGTTAAGGAGAACGTGTGTATGCAGGGGTATGTATGGGTGAGTATGCATGTCTCTGGTCATACGATTGAAGTTAGACAGTGATGCCATTAACAGTAACAACAGGTGGAAAAGGAGGAGGATTGGATATTTGGATGGGTTGGGGTGGGGGGATGATGAGTTCAATTTTGATGAGTGAGAGCTGCACGTCTAAAGGGCTAGAATTTGAGGTGAGGTAGAGAAGACCTTCGCCATGGGTTGGGCAGTGACTGCTTAGGGACTGCCCCCTAAACCAGAGCTTCTTAACCTTTTTTGTGTCATGGCCCACTTTGGCAATCTGGTGAAGCCTTTGCACCCCTTCTCAGAATAATTCATGAAATAAACTACATAGGATTATGAAGGAGACCAATTATATTGAAATAGAGTTATCAAAATATTAAAGAAAAAAAACAAAGACAGCTCCTGGGATCCCAGGGTAAGAGTCCTTGCCTAAACCTCAGTTGTCCTTGCTGTCCTTGGGGAGGGAGCAACACAGTTTACTGGGGGAGAACACCGGACTGGCAGTCATTATCAGTAGACACTCACCAAGCAGGTGTTACTTGCTAGGGTTGATGGATGGTGCAGAGAACGGACAAGGCAACTTTCTTGTTCTCTGCTGGGCAGCAGGTAAGGCTTTGTGGCTGTAAGAGACATGCTGGAATAGTGGATAGAGCACTGGCCTTGTCCCCAGACCTGGGTTACTACCTGCAAAACTCCCATGGTGCCTGAACCAGATTAAAATGTAATTGGGAAATATCTAATAAAATAACGGAAAGTAGAGCACCATGTAGATAATGTTGATTTGTGGTTTTCTAAGTGAATGTGCAGCACAGGGATCTATTTCTATTTTGAGTTTGTCATCTCTGCCTTAGGTAGTTCTCTAAAGACTCTTAGGTTGTAGCTGAAGCGCTAACCTGCTTTGGTAGAGGGAGTTCCCTCATCTGGGAGTTCTCTCTCTCTTTCAGTGAAATCACGTCTTCTCCCTTTTCCATTCTTCCTGATATTTAAAAAGTGTTTCCTACTCTGCTCCCAATATTGTGAGCCCCAGGCCACTGCCTGCCTTGCCTTCCCCTGCCCCAGACTGTACTTTGAGACGTGCTAGCCTTTAGTCTGTTCTTATCCACTGCTGACTGACTGTGTATCCTTGGCCAAGTCACTGTCTGAGAGGCAGTAGTCACTCAGCAAGTATTTATTAAGTACCTGCTGTATGCCAGGCACTTTGATAGGCGCCCAGGATCTACGAGTTAAGGGGACAAAACTTACTTTCCATTGAGAGAAACAATATGCACACAGATAAGGAAAATGCAAAATATAGATAAAGTAATGTGGAGTAAGGGGAAAAGCACTAACAACTGGAGAATCCAGAAGAGACTCCTGTAGAAAGTGACCCTTAAAAGCTGAGCCTTCCAGGAAGCTAAGGAGCATAAGAGGTGAGCCGAGGGAGCCCTGCATGCCAGGGATCAGGGACAGCCTGTGCCAAAGCAGAGACAGGAGACAAAATGTCATATTTCAGTCAAGTCGGCCGCTAGATAATAACAACTGTTCCCACCAACCTCACAAGATTGTTGTGGTTTTTTTTTAATTTATTGATGTCTTTTGTCTTTACGTAGCCTAAATTCCTCCCTATCCCTCTTCCTCCTCCTCTCAGAGAACCATCCCATATAACAAAGACTTTTTTTTTTTACAGAAAACAAGAAAGCAGAGGAAAAAATCAGCCAAACTAATTGATTCACTAAAAAAATGACAATATATGTAATGTTCCTTACCACTGGAACTGAAAATTACCTCTGCAAAGGAGTGGGTTCACATCTCTTTTTTTGTGGCTATCCTTTCTTCTTTGTAATTTTACAACATTTACCTTTTTTTAAAGAATAAATTTTATTGGTATCTTTTATTTTACATTGCCTACATTTTTCTGTGTCCCCCTCTCTCTCTCAGAGAGTCATCCTATATTACAAAGAATATACTTTTAAGGGGAAAAAAAGAGTAAGCAGAGAAAAAAAAATCAGGAAAATCAATGTATCACATCCCCCCCCCAAAAAAAATCTGCCAATATGCAGAGTTCCACACCTGTAAACCCATCACCTCTATAAAGGAGTGGAGGGAGGTGCCATCTTCTATCTCTTCTTTGGAGCCAAACTTGTTCTTTTTTTTTTTTTTTTCCAAGGCAGTCAGGGTCACACAACTAGTAAGTGTTAAGTGTATGAAGCTGGATTTGAACCCAGATCCTCTCGGGCTGGTCCATTTTGCCACCTAGTTGTCCCCCAAGCTTGTTTTTTGTAATTTTGTAGCATTCATTCCTCTTTTTTTTTTTTTTTTTTTTTTTTTTTTTTAGTAGTAGTGGTTCTTTCCATTTACACTATGGTGTACTCATTGTGTATATTGTGTTTTTACATTCTGGCTTCCTCCATTCTGCATTCGTGCAACTTGTCCCATCCTTCACTGTATCCATCATATTCACCGTTTCTTACAGCACTCTAGCGTACCATGACCTTCACGTACCACCATTTGCTTAGCCATTCTCCAGCAGATTGGCATCTCCATTGTTTCCACTTCTTTGCTAATGTACATATTTGGGTGTATATGAGACTTTTACTCACAAGGTATATGTGTAAGCACTTTGGAAAGTCGATAGCATCTCTTTTTATTCTTGCCCTTCCTTGGACCCATGGTGTCCTCCATAATTGCTTTTTTTTTTTTTTTTATTGTGAGGCAAATGGAGTTAAGACACTTGTCCAGGGTCACACAGCTAGTACATGCCAAATGTCTGGTCTGAGGATGGATTTGAATTCAGGTCCTTCTGACTCCAGGGCTGGTGCTCTATCCATTGTGCCACTTAGCTGCCCCTCCACCATTGCTTATTGAAAGAATAATACCATGCTACAAACAGTGGCATGATGTACAGCAGTGCAGGTTGGGTTAAAGGAACTGACTCAGAGCTCCAGCACTGACATTTATGAACCTCTGGGCAAGGCACAAACTTTCTAAGCCTCAACTTCCTCATCCATAAAATGAGACTTCGTCCTACCTCCTCCATGGGGTTATTGTTGTACTTTATGGACTCTAATGTGGCACCAAAATGGGATTCAGTGATAACTTAAGTATTCTTATTTGTTTCCTGCTCATTGGGTGGAGGGGACGCAGTTTGGCCTGGAGCTGAGAAGCGCTAATGAGATCCTTGACAAGCTTGGTGCACCCTGTTGCTTGACCTAACAGAGAAAACTCACAAGTCTTATGGACATCTCTTTTTCTTCCTTGCAGATAATTTTCCCTCTAGAGTGGTTTCCATTAAACAAGCCCAGCGTGGGAGACTACTTTCATATGGCTTACAACGTCATCACACCATTTCTCTTACTCAAGGTAAAACCCAGAGACGCAAAGGTTAGTCTTCCCTTGGAACAGCTCCCAGGCTCCTCCCTTAGCTGCTCGGCCCTCGTGGTAGGCACGGTACCAATATGGATGCTAGGAAGGAAGGATGGAGATTTCTAATGCCTGCTGCCTGGAAGGTTCCCTGGTATTGTAGGCAGAGTTCTGGGTGTGGAGGGTTCTGCTGGGTTCTGGTTTTTGGTTCTGCTACTGACGCTATGTGATATTAGGGAGGTCACTTCACCATTCTGATCCTCATATTGTTCACCTTCCAAATGGATATGATGCCCTGTGTAGTTCACAGGAATGTTGGTGAGGATCTAGCAAGACAGTGGGTGTGAAAGCACTTTGAAAAACTAAAAATGTTATGCAGAGACAATGAGATTATTCCTATTAGGTGGAAAAAGAAGACACATAGGGAGGAACGTAAAAACGGCAAGCTTGTTCTTTAACACAGTCTTATTTATTATTTTGCATACTATACCAGGAAGTCCAAAGTTTTACACCCAGCTCCAAAGACCAAGCTAACTTTTTTGTTTACATAGATTGCTTGACTTTTGGTGCAGAGAACAGAAGTGCCGAGAGGGACGTTAAGGAGCAAACAGGTCTGGAGGGTTTGGACAAGAGAGATTTAAAAAGATTTTCCCAAAGAATGGCCCCCTGGAGCCTGGATTTGGACTGAGAGAACCCGGGTTTGAATCCCAGCCCTGCTCCTTAGCACCCAGGCAAGTCATATAACCTCTCCAATCCCTGTTTTCCTATAAACTGAGGGGTTGGACTAGATGATTTCTAAGGTCCTTTTTGGCTTTAGATCTGATGCTCCTGGACTCCCAGAATCTCACAGTTGGAAGGCACCTTGGACCATTTAGTCCAACCCTTACTGACCATGAATCCCCCTGCCACTTTCTTGGCAAATGGTGGTCTAGTCTTCAGTTACAAACCTTTGGGGAAGGGAGGGTACCCATTCCATCCTAGGACAGTTTTCATTGTTAGGACACTTTTTTTTACATCAAACCTGCATGTAAATCTGGAACTTCCACACATTGCTTCTAGTTCTATCTCTGGGGCTGAGCAGAGCAAGCCGATCTTGCCTACACACAGCAGCCCTTTGGATCTTGTTTTGTCCCATCATTCCATCCCTGCACCACTCCTCACATCCTCCAAACCACCCTAAGACAAGTCCTTTTTCCAGATCAAACACCTCTGGTTTCTGACTCAGTCCTCGTGTGGCATGGTCTCAAGTGCCCTTACTATCCTCTGCAACCTCCTTTGGACACATTCTAGGTTATCAATGCTCTTCTCAAAATATGGCATCTAGGACCACACACAGTACTGTGTCAGACAGTAAGCCTTTGTTAAGCACCGACTATGGGCTAGGCAAAAACTCAAAAGACAGTGATCCTGCCCTCACGGAGCTCACAAACCCCTCGTTAAGGGGAGACAGCAAGCAAACAGATATGTACAAACAAGTCATATACAGGAAACATAGGAAATAATTAAGAGAGGGAAGACACTAGAATTAAGAGGGGTTGGGAGAACATTGTTCTGAATACTATACCCTTTTAGCACAGGAGAAGATAAATGGCATTAATTTTTTTTGCCACCATGTCACACTTTTGACTGATTTTCAGTCAGTCAGTCGGTTAACATTAAGCACCTGCTATGTGCCAGGCAGTGTTCTAAGCACTGAGGATACAAAAAGAGACAAGACAATTCCTGTCCTCAAGGTGTTTACAATCTAGTGAGCTTGTGGTCCGCTAAAACCCCCAAATCTTTTTCACAGATCTTTTCCCGTGCCTTCTGTATCCTATACTTCTGAAGTTGCTCCTATTTCTGTTCTAGTTAACATAGAACTCAGACCAAGATTAACCTGAACCCTGGTTTGAATTCTTCTCTGGCAAACAAGTAATATTTGGGATCTGCTCCCAGTGAGTAGAGGGGAGGGCCAGCTTCAGTGGCCCAAGTTTCAGATGGACTCTTCTGGCAACAGATGCCCCTGGGGAGGACTAATAGAAGAGGCTGATGCAGCAGGTTAGTCACTGACCTAAGTGCAGGCTGGGTCTTTTAGGCATGAGGTGTGCCAGGAAGGCTGTCACCTCAGTAATGATCCAGGTTGAGTCAGGCTCTAGGCCCCCGGGACAGAGTGACCACAACACCAAACAACTCCTGCCCCCCCACCCCCAGAACATGCTTGGGAGGAAATATAAACACAGTGCAAAGTGGCAGGCGCCCCACCCGCAGACAACCAAGGGAAAGGCTCCCTCACTGCTCACTGCTGGGGAAGCTTCTCGGTACAATCATCTCAAGGTGCTCACTTGTGCTTTGTGATCTCTGTCAGAATTCATGATAGGCTTTCCCTCAGATTGAGAACTCCTTGAGAGCAGGGACTGGGGTGGGTTGTTGGTTGGTTTGGTTTTGAGAGGTGTTTTTTCCCCTCTGTTTGTGTACTCACCACTTAGCACAGTTTCTGGCACAGAGTAGGTAGAAGGTGAGGGAAGGCCTGTAATGCTGCAGATTGACATTTAGAAGCATAGGTTTGGGGGAGGAAGAAAGGTGTGGTATGTGGTCTAGGAGTACCACTGCTTAATCACTGGCAGAGAGTTGGTGTAGACAACTTCCCCAGGAAATCAGGCCCCAGGGCAGAAGATCTGACCTTCGCTTCCCTCACTTGCCCTAGGGTCAGCAGAAGAAAGGGTCTCTACCAAGACCCTGTTATGAACCCATACTGTATACACAGGCTCATTCAAGGCACTCAAGAGGCACGTATGCGTGCGTGCACGTGCGCGCACGCGCACACACACACACACACACACACACATACATGCCTTTGCGTCACATGCCTTATTAAGAGTACAACCTATCCTGGAACATGGGGTTAGAGGAGATAAACAGAGAAAAAAAGAGAGAGAGAGAGAGAGAGAACACCCACTTCCTCCTTACTCTTAATGGAACCTCAGCATAAGATATAATTAAATTCCCTTTCATATCTGTCTTTGAACCTATTGTCCAAAGTCATATATAGTCCTTACTTTCCAGAAGCTAGAAGGGGAAACAAGACACAAAAACACATACCTGTTTACTTGAAGAATAATTAGTGAACCACAAAAGACAGTACAGAATCAGTTCTAAAACTGAATGTAATGGAAGTAGGCAGTTATTATGGTTAAGTGGAAAGAATGCTAGATTTGGGACTGAAGGAGCAGGATTCAAATTCTCCTTGTGCTATTTACTGCCTGTATGACTTTGGGCAAATCATTTCACTTCTTGCCTCAGTTTCCACATCTGTGAAACACGGGGTGGACTTGTTGATTTATTTTCTTATTTTTTAAAAATTAGGGTTTTTTTCTCAATTAACAAGTCTTACCCTCCCACTTTGTCTCCCCCCATTGATAAGGAAAAGAAAGAAAAACAAAACCTTGTCTTATAACAAATCTGCAGTCAAGTAAAAAAGGGCTCAATTTCAAAAGTCCCTTCCAACTCTAAATATATGATCTTAATATTTGGTAAGGAGGTCAAAGGGGGACCTAAGAAGGGAGAGTTAAGGGGAAGTTGGAGCCTTCAGGGAAGGCTTCATGGAAATGGGACTCAAGCTCTGTCCTGAAGAATGTGAAGGGTTTAGACAGGCAGAGACGGGTAGGAAGGCTATTTGGGTAGTAGGGTAACCTTATGAAACATGGTTTAGAGGTAGAGATGAGCATGGCATGTGCTAGGGACGTATACTTTGGGATTTTAGAGTTTTGAGTAGATTTTTTTTGTTGCTGTTGTTGTTGTTCAACTTGAAAAAAGAATCCGTTTTTCTCCCTCCTACATTCCTGCCTTTGAAGAAGAAACAAAAACCAAACCCATGTATTTTATGCATAGTCAGGCAAAAAGAAAAATTCCCACGTTCATAGCCAAAAAACAAAAGAAATGCTACTTTGGAAAGATGGGAGGTTTTTGAGCTTCGCGTGAGAAACTTGAGTGAGAGGGGAGCGAGAGGATCAACACCATCCACCTGAGGCCAGAGCTGGCTCTGGGAGGGTGTTTCAGGTCAGGATGTGCTGAGTGCCTGGTTCTAAATTGCAGCTCATTGAAAGGTCCCCCAAGACCCTGCCTCGATCCATTGTGTATGTCAGCATCATCACCTTCATCATGGGCTCGAGCATTCACCTAGTGGGAGACTCTGTGAACCACCGCCTGATCTTCAGCGGCTATCAGCACCACCTCTCTGTCCGAGAGAACCCTATCATCAAGAACCTGAAGCCAAAGACCCTGGTAAGGAGGGCTCCCCTCTGCCCAGGTCAGTGCTTTCCCTGCTGCAAGAAATTACCTCGTGGAGTGATCAGGAGTACTTTTGCACATAACACGTGGATGAAAGTATGCTTTATTTCCTTTATTTTGCTCCACAATCACCCTGACAGTCCTTTGTCCTAAATGGTACACCATACCCCTAGACCATCTTCCAGACTACCATTTGTGTTATCTTTCAAGCAGCTGGAGGGGGTGGCATAGGCCTTTTAGTCCTTGCACCTGGGGGATGCTGAGGCTGGTGGATCACTTGAGCTCAGGAGTTCCAGACTGCCATAGAGCTCAAAGCTGATGGGATGCCCTCATTGAGTCTGAGGCCAATATAGTGATCCCGGTAGTGGAGGGCCACAGGCTGCCTAAGGAGGTAAGAACCAGCCTGTGTCAGAAAAATGGAGCAGGTTAAACTTTTATACCAGTTCTTTATTAGGATTGGGCCCATGAGTGACCACCACACTTTCAGCCTGGGCAAGGTAAAGAGAGCCAATCTTAAAAAACAAAAAACTCCAACAACACAACTTAAGAGAGATATATGTGCATGCATTTTGAGCCCAAAAACATTGTGGCCAAATTGACGTTCAGTCTCCATAAATCCTTTAGAATTATGTTTTAGGAAAAGAAGCCATCATCTCCAAACTACCACACTTGACCACAAATGAGCTTATCAGATTAGAGGAAGATAGAAAGTTCCGAAAGGTACGGTTCCCCAGAGGGAAGCTGGAAGGAAGAAGAGATTCATAGGCATGCATGGTATGAGGCTGTTGGGCCTTTTGGAGTAGGAAGAGATGGACACTAAAAGGCACAGAGGTACTCCGGAAACCCATCACGCTCAGCTTCCCCATTTTGCCAAAGAGTGAGCCTTGAGGGGGCCTGACTACATAAAACAGGATTTATTTCCTTTCCCCTGCAGATTGACTCCTTCGAGCTGCTCTACTACTATGATGAGTATCTAGGGCACTGCTTGTGGTGAGTGATTGAGAGCCTTGTGGTTTTGGGGAGAAGATGGGGCTCACAGTATGTAGGTAGCACAGAACCCACAGGAAGGTCCTTCACTTCTGAAAAGGTATTCTCAGTGCTGTTCCCTCAGTACCTATGGGTGGTCACTAGAGGGCAGCAAGAGGCTTTCTTAGCCCTCCCAGGATTAGGGCTGGTGATGGCTTCTCTGTGTGTGTTGGGGTGGGAGGGGGGCTCAATATAGCACTGCTCTCTCCCTCCCACCCTCAGCTTTAAGATTTGTTCTTGAGTGTTTTTTGATAATGTTCCACAGAAAATCTCCTGCCCTGTTGGACTGGGGGTGGTGATGGTGAATAAGGCTTATTTGACTGTAACTTTATATGTATAGAGAGATGAGTAAGGGCAGGTGGGTGAGTCTAGCCTGGGCCAGGCTGTGCAGTGAGAATACACAGAACTAGATTCAGCAGCCAGGAAGGCCGGCCCGCCGCTAAGTAGTGGAGGCCGAGGTGGGGCAGAAGGCTGCTTTCTGCTGATTAGAGCTGATTGTCTATGTCAGAGGTTTCAGACTCAGAGGGCACAAGCAGCCGCAGCTCTCCCCACTGTGGCCTGAACCAGATTAAAATGTAACTGGGAAATGATTAACAAAATAAATTAAAAAGCAATGTGAGTTAGGTAATGCTAATTTATGATTTTCTAAGTCAGTATGTGACCTGCGGGGATCCATTTCTATTTAAGTTTGACACCATCAGTCCATGCTATATAACACCAGCTGGATCTTCCTCCCCTGCTACTTAGCAGTCCTTTTACTCAACTCTCCTGATCCTATGTCATCCCCCAAAAGCACCACACTCCTCAACCCTCTACATCGTTCTACACCCACCACACGTAATTTGGTTTTCTACTACTAATAAGATTGTCATTATCCATTATAAGCATCAACTCCTCCATACCACAGACTTCAGCCACAGATAAAGAAGCTTTGCTATTCCACCTCTCCATCTGTGTTCTTGATCCCCGTCCCTCTTTGCTCCATTAGTCATTCTCTGGCAAATATATTCAGTCTTTTCCTTTTCAGCGGAGCCTTCCCATCTTTGTACAAATACACTTGGGTCTTATTCCTCATCCTTTAAAAAAAATTTCCCTTAACCCTTCTGTCCTTTCAAATTACCATTTTCACTCTCTTTTGTGAGGCAGTTGGGGTTAAGTGACTTGTCAGGGTCACACAGCTGGTAAATGCCAAGTGTCTGAGACTGGATTTGAACTCAGGTCCTCAGAGCACTCCAGGACCAGTGCTTTATCCACTGTGCCACCTAGCTGCCCCTCTTTCTCTTCCCTTTTACCCCTAAAGTTCTTGAAGGACTAGTTTCCATCTGATGCATAGACTTCTTCACTGCCATTTCATTTGTCTATGCCTTGCATTCAGATTCTTTTGCTACTAGTCTCCAGAAACTTCTGACTGAAGTCAATAGTGCCCTCTTTATCACTGGATCCAATGACTTTTATGAGCTCTCACCTTCTTTGATCTTACTATGGCATTTGACTATTTATCACCGATTACCTCTTGATACTCTCTCTTTCTTTTGCTTTCCTGACACTTCAGACTCTCTTGTTTCTCCCCCTACCTCTTTAGGTCTCCTTATGTCCACTCTTCCTGGCCCTCTAATATAGGCATTTCCTGGTTCTCAACCCTCTTTCTTCCTTCTCTATATTCTTTTCTTGGCAGTCTCATCCACTTTCACAGCTTCAGTTGCCAACTTTATATGGATACCTCCCTTAACCTTGCTCTCTCTTTGGAATTCCCATACCTGAATTTCTTGCTTCTCAATAGACATCTGCCCTTGAATCTCCAATTGGTACCTCAAGCCCAATAGCACTGAAACAGAATCTGATATTTTCTCATATCAAAACCTAATCCTTTCTGACTTCTGTATTTTGGTTAATTGTACCCAAGCTCCAGTGTTCCAAACCTCAGTATTATCTGTAATCTCTCATTCAGATCCCTCAGATCAGTGGCTGAGTTTATTAACCTTACTTCTCAAAACCCCTTTTTCTCCCTACCACCACCACTGTAGTGGTGCAGAAGAATAATAATTCTTCATTATGCCCAACTTGAACTGTTTCAGTGCCGCACAGACCGCTCAACCAAATCCGTCCTTCAAGTGGCTGGCAAAATAGCCTGACATACTGCTGGTCATCTCGCTCATCTGCTCAAACCTCATTGCCTACTGAATATAATCCAGGGTAGTCTGGCATTCAAGGCTCTCCACACTCTTATATCACCTCATTTTTTGTGTTATCTCCCACTTTTGTTCAGCCCAACTGGGTTACTCTCACCATCCCTCATAAATGTCACTTATGCCTTTGCTCATGCTGTCATGTGCCCTCCACCCAGCCTCCATCTGTTGAAGCCTACTTTTCATTTAAAAGAGTTCTTGGGGCAGCTAGGTGGTGCAGTGGATAGAGCACTGGCCCTGAAGTCAGGAGGACCTGAGTTCAAATCTGGCCTCAGATGAAACACTTGATGCTTACCAGCTGTGTGACCCTGGGCAAGTCACTTAACCCCAATTGCCTAAAAAAAAATAAAATAAAATACTTTGGTAAAGTGTAATCCTATGTATTTTATTTTCTGCATTTAAAAACATTCTGAAAAGACATCCATAGGCTTCACTAGACTGCTAAAGGGATCTGTGCCAACAGAAAGGTTAAGAACCCCTCCTCTGAAGACTAATTTGTCTTCTTCCTCCTCCATGGTACCTTCTGATTCCCCTTGGCTTGGCACTGGCTAGCTCCCATCTTGTATTACAGTTACTTGCCTGTGTTCAGTACATCTCCCTTCTGGCTTGTAAGCACCATTGAGATCAGGAACCATGTCTTGTGGACCTGATGCATGTGCTGTGCTACCTCTAGTGGGCGCTTAATAAATGTTTCTTTTCATTGAGTGGCCAGCAGGCCTCCCTCAGAGTCCCACCCCACCCCAGAAGCACAGTCATAGGATGCTAAATTTCACAGACGAGAAAATAGCCCCATTGCCCAGTGGGTCACTAGTGAGTGGTGCCAGAGCCAGAACTAGACTTCTGAGGTGCCCAACTCCCCTCCCTGTATTGTTTAAATTGGAGAAGCTACAAAGATAAACAAGTCTTGTGGTACTTCTGAGCTAGTAGGGGATCCAGAGCACAAACAGAGGTCATCATTGGTTCAATTGTACAAGTACACGGCTGTTTTGAGTGCTGTGCATTTGTTACAGGAACTAGGGAAGCACAGGAAGGTGTTGGGATCTTTGTTGTTTCCAGCTAGGGATCACCTCTTTGTATTCCCCGATGCCTGTGGGTTTACAGATTCTCTGCACACACCACCATGTGTTTCTGGAGGCCTGTTTTGGGGACGTTTTGTGTAAACGCGTTTAACTCCAGAGTCATAGCAGGGCGTTGAGTGGACAGCCTCCCCTCTCCCTTGCCTTGCTGGGGCTTTCAGCAGTGTGTTCTGGAAGGATACAGAAAGAGACAGCATGAGAGGGGGAGGGAGGGAAGAGAAAAGTGGGGGGAGACAGAGCCAGAGGCCGACCATATGAGAGGAGGAGATCGAAAGGAAGTGTGACACACTGCATGAAACAGGGAGATGAAACTAGAATATGTATGATTGTGGGTGTGTGAGGGAGAGGTTGTGTGGGCGTGCTAAAGAGGAGAGATTGTAGATCAGAAATTTCCATACTGGTCCAAATATAGGCTATACCCCTGACGTAAATGGCTTCAAAAGGAATAGATAGATATAGATACATAGATAAAAACACACACACATACGTATACATTGAAAAATGATTGCACAAAGTTACTGTTTTGTTTTTTATCACATCAGTATATTGGAACTGAAATGCAGGGAGATACTAGGACCCTGGAAGCAGGAAAGATCTACTTTCTCCATCCTGGAACACTAGCAGCAAGGGGGACATAATGACAGGTTGCACTTAGGTTTTATGTAAGCCAGATTTGGAGTGAGTGAGTGAGTGTGTGTGTGTGTGTGTGTGTGTGTGTGTGTGTGAGAAAGTGAAGATGGGGGAAGGGTATTAGAGAAGAGAGTATATCTGAACAGGCACAGCATCAACTGGAGACCGCCCACAGATCTTGATCCTCCTTTCAATTTGTGTTTGCCCTGGTCATGGCCCTACATGGCGCAGATCCCCTTTCTTCTTCACACTGTGGGCCTCTGTCTTTCCATTCAATTTTCCTGGCCAACATAGGGCCAGGAATCATTGTTGGGGGATGGGGGGGCAGGGAGGTAGCGAAAAGGAGAAAGGGGGAAGGGAAGAAAGAGACAGAGTGTGTGTTTGTGTGTGATGTATGCATATATTCATGCTTGGTTTGAAAAAGAAATGTATGAGGCAGTATTCAAAGAGGAAGTATTGTGCTACCTTTTCTGAGCTGTATAGGGCTTCCCCAAACCTGTCTGAACCCTTCTTTACAAGGCCGGGTCATTTAAGTAGTGGTCTCCAAAATGGAGCCGTGTGTTACAGCCAGTTATGATCACATTTCCTCATTTTTTTCCCTTCCACCTCTGGCCTCCTGTGTGGCTGTCCTCAGATTGGAAAATCTCAGGAGGTTCAGACCCACTGAGACCCAAGCACCTACAGCTGTCTGTGCAGAATTCCCTCCCGACATATACACCCTGCCTGTACCCCAGTCACCACAGTAACAGGCCCTGCAGCATGGGCATAAGGCATCACCCCAACCCACTTACTTTAGATTTTTTGGGTGGAAATAATGAGTAGCATAGGGTGAGCAGGTTTGGAAGGGTGGCATTTATACCCCCCCCATCTCTCCCCCAGCTCACTCCTAGTTCACATTTCCTTATTTCTCTTGAGGACTCCACTAGGTTTGTAGCCCAAGTGTTATCTTGCATCTCTCTCTCCCCACCCCCTCTTCTCTCTCCCACTCTCTTCCCTATTCCTCTTCCATATAATCATTGTCAAATCTTGTCATTTCTATTTCTACAAATTTCAAAGAAATCTGTTTCCCACCCATTGGTCTTAGCTCTGACTTTGGGGGGCCAATCAGAAAAATGCAGCAAATTTAATTTGACAGACACTTGGTAAGCACCATGGGGTTGATACAGACTCAAACTTGAATTTGGCTGTCAAATCACACCATTAACTCACATTGAAACCCCGAATGTCCCTCTTGAGTCTTATCTTCTCCAAACTAAACATGTCCAGTTCTTTCAAATGATCTTTATAGGACACAGACTGAACTTTCAGTCCATAAACCTGCATAAGCTGCTTTCTGACCCTGCTCCCTTTACCCTATCTCCTGTCCTGTAATTGTTGATTTTTTTTTAAACCTAAGTGTAGGACTTCTTCTCCTTGTTAAAGCTCATCTGATTAGATTTGGCCCACTGTCCTAGTGACAGGGCCTTTTTGGATCCTGATTCTGCCATCTATTATATTAGCCCTCCCTCCCAGGCCCTTGTTATCTGGAAGTCTGGATAAAAAAGCCATTCACATTTTCATCCAAGTCACTGATACAAATGATGGACAGACCAGGGTCAAGGACAGAGCTTTGTTCCTCACTATTAGAGACTTTTAGTCAGCAATCTTTAAGCCAAGTCATTCGACCAGCTTTGATTCCATTTAACTACTACATCTGTCCATCTTATCCACAAGGATATCATAAGAGACTTTGTCTTGTGCTTTGCCTAATCCTGGCATCTCATTTCTAGGGCAGTTTCCTAAAGGGGAGAACTTAGAATCCTACCCTGTTTGTTAGACCCAAGAGAAAGGAAGTGACTTGCTTTTCTGTTAAAGGGAAAGGGAAACCTTTCTTAGCTCTCTGTACTGGAAGAAGCCAAAGACATTCAGCAGCCTGACACCCCCCCGCCCCCACCCTCCACTGTATTCCTGCACCTTCTTCACGCCCAAGCATAGGTGTCCCTGCTGGGGTTGAGGAGTAGAGGCCCAGGGCGGGAACAGATCTGGCCCAGTTCGGGGAAGGCTCTAAGGCTCCATCTCTCTTCTAGGTACATACCCTTCTTCCTCATCCTTTTCATGTACTTCAGCGGCTGCTTCACCACTGCTAAGAAGGAGAGCAGGATGCCTCGGTCAGCTCTGCTCTTATTGGGGCCCAGCAGTTTGTACTATTGGTGAGTAGGGAGCTGGTCTGCTGGTGATGAGTGGGGACGTGCAGGGAAGACACAAGAGACTTGGGAACATGGACAGAGTTGGTTCAGAGGGGGCTGGCTAACGTGCACACCTGTCCAAAGGCATGGACCAAATGACCTCTCAGTACCCCAAGTCAGTGAAGTTATCATGTGTCTAGTTCTGTACTGGGGTCTTGGGGGTTGTTGAGGAAACATAAGGACTTGTGTCTGCCTTCAGGCAGCTTAGTCACTTAATATGAAAATAATATAAATGGAACAGTTAAGCAATAAAGCTTAATGCAGCACTGGCCGTAAGTGTAACATGTTCAGAACTTGTGGTGGTGGAAACTGACGCCCAGGGGAGAAGCCATGGTCATTGGCATCTGTGTGCTTTGGTGGTGTGAGGGTGGGGGGTACCAGGAACTGGCATGGTCTGAGGAGCCTTCATACAACAGCTGGGGCTTGAGCTGGGCCTTCATCCCTCAGTGAGGATTTAGGGTTACAGAACTCTAGAGTCTGAATCCCAGTTTGCTGCCTGTGTGACCTTGGATTAGTCACTTAACTGCCCTAAGCACATTTCCCTGTATCTGTAAAATGTGGGGTTGTCCTCAACCTCTAAAATCCCTTTGGCTCTAAATCTGTGAGCCTCTAGTTAGAATTTAGATAAATAGAGAAGGAGGAGGAAAAAACTCTCTGCTCAGGGACCCGGCCACGACATTGTGGTGGGAATGAGTGGGGTTCTTGAGGGACTTAGCTGGGGAGGCGAGAAGGCCGGCTTGGCTAGAGCAGAAGGCAGACAGAGATTAGAGAACAGGCAGACGGGATTGGAGAGAGGGTGGAGGCCCCTGGAAGCCAGGCAGAAGAGAGCAGATTTGGTGCAGTGATGCTACCTCTTCTCTGTCAGTCTGGTCCTTCACAGTTTACAAAGTCTGACACAAACACATTATTCTTTTTGACACCACACCTCTGTAAAGAGGGTGGGGCAGGTTGGGGCCCAGACAGGTAAAGTAACTTGCCTAGCATCACACAGCTAGTGAGTGGCAGAGCCAGGACCACATGTTGCCTTGATGCCAGTTGAGAGACACCCTAGGTTCTTTTTTTTTCTTTCAGGCAGTTGGTGTTAAGTGACTTGCCCAGGGTCACACAGCTAGTAAGTGACAAGTGTTTGGTCTGAGGCCGCATTTGAACTCAGGTCCTCCTGACTTCAGGGCCGGTGCTCTATCCACTGTGCCACCTAGCCGCCCCTACACCCTAGGTTCTTGAGGAAGGGAGAAGGTTGTGTGAGTTCTGGAGTGCTCTAGAGCAGAGGGGTCAGACTCAAGGCCCTGCGCAGCCCCCATCCCCAAACGCTTGTGAATCAGATTGAAACGTTTAACAAACTAAATACAGATAAGAGTGCAACACAGATAATGTTAGTTGGTGGTTTCCTGAGTGGCTGCAGGATCCTTTTCTCTCTGAGTTTGACACTACTGCCTTAGAGCATCACCTCCTGAGTTCCAGTCCCCAAGGGACTGTGGGCAAGTCTTAGCTCCCTGGCCTGAGTTTGCTCTTCAGGAAAACGTGGGGACTCGATGCTTCTGAGGTGGCCCTGACTCTGTGGAGAGGAGGTGGGGGGCAGGAGGGGAATAGCCTTCTGACCTCCTGTCTGTCTTCCTGGGAAACCTCAGGTATCTGGTCACTGAAGGACAGATCTTCATCCTCTTCATCTTCACCTATTTCGCCATGATGGCGTTTGTGATGCACCAGAAACGGAAGCGCCTCTACCTGGACAGCAACGGACTCTTCCTCTTCTACACCTTCTTCTTCACGCTCCTGTTTGTGGCCCTGTGGGTGCTGTGGCTGTGGAATGATCACACCCTCAGGAAGAAATACCCCGGGGTCATCTACATTCCAGAACCATGGGCCTTCTACACCCTCCATATCAGCAGGCACCCCTGAGTTCCTCAGGGTCCACAGCTAAGAGGGTTTTCTTGGGAGGGATTTTGTGTGAGCATTGTGGGGAAGAAGCCATCCCCTTCCCAGCCTTCCCACAGCAAAGCAAAACATGCTTCCCTCTGCCTCCCCCCGCCCCCAATTAAGTGGGCTTGTGGTATATGTGTGTATTGTTAGGTTGTTAGGTATCCACATTTTGTTTTGGTCTTTTCAGGCTTGGGTTTAGTTTTAGGAAACACAACATCACAGGGCTGAGAATAGGCCTTGTGCAACAGTCTGCCTTGTACAAAAAGCCTTCCCAGGCCCAGTGGGTTTGCTGTGTTTGTGTTATGTGTTGTGATTGTAAAAACCAGCCAACAAGAGGCTCCTGGGTAGGGAGTCATGGTCAGTGGCATGTTGGGTGGCCTGATATAGAGGGGTTGGAGGAACCTTCGCTCCAGAGCCATTATCCTTCTGCCATGCCGCATCAGACCTCACCTGAGGAGCTCTAGTACGTCTTCTCCATAGGCTCGTTTCCCCCTGCTCATAGGATGATAGAGAAGGATTGGCCAAAGCTGAGGTGGTACCTTGGATTAGCTCGGCCCTGGTGGTGGAAGTCCTGGGTCCTGAGGGAGCTAGAAGTGTGTAGAGAGGGTGGAAGCTGGGTGGGCACACATGAGGAAAGAGGAGGGATGAGGTCCCATCCCTCAGAGATTAGGTTTTGCTTAGACCATTTCCGGGATTCTTGTCCTGGTCTCTTATGACGAGAACTGGGCAGTCTGCCAGTTCCAAATGACCCATGAGCCAATTCCCTCCAAGGACCTCCAAGGGGCCGGCTCTTCCTTGGCTGGGAGTAGGGTAGGGGGTGGATAGTAGGGGTGAAGAGGCCTTTGTAGAGTTGCTCCCCAACCCCATGGGCATCTGGGTCCTGTAATAGATTTCTTTTTAACCTTCATGGTCTTTTGAGTTGGCAGAAGAGTTATCTGCCAGTGCCTCATTGCTAGTGTGGAGGTGACCCTGGGTTCTTGAAGGCTCCAACAGGTTCTGCCACACCAGAAAGGTAATGAGCTGTGCCACCAAGTCTGAGGACCAGCCAGTCTAAGCATGGAGAGGGGCTCATGAGCAGAAGGCCATTCACCAGTTGGTTAATTGGTTTTGGCCACAGCTCTGGTAAATACAGTCTACTGAGGGGTGAAGGAGGTGGGATGTGGTAATGCTGGTGACATCTCACATCTTTGAAAGTAAATCCTCTTGAGTTCCAGGAAAACAAGTGAGCCTTGCCTCTGCTTCTCCTGTCAGGGGAAGCTTGGGAGGCTCTGGGAGGCTGTCTCTGAAGCTTAGAGACGGCCCCTGGTCCACCTAGAGCCAGGGCAAGCAGTAGTAATTAACCCTTCTTTCCCCCTCTGTTCTGTGGAAGCCATTCTGGATTCTTTTACTTGAGAAAAAGTGGTGTAAACCCTCTTTTCAGCCTAAACCAAACTTGAAGAAGTGGAATGTCAAGTCTAAAGACTCAGTGCTCACTTTTATGGGAAAGTTGGAGTAGAGAAACCTTCATCATTCATCCTGACTCTCTTCCAGGATGTATTTAGGCAGCTGCACATCATTCTGAGAAGTGGTAGAGAGGGAATGGGGGTGGAAAAGGGACTTGATTCTCAGAAGGGGTGGCTTTTCAGCTAAGATGAGGGCTCACCCCCTCTCCCCTGCTCATAGCCTTGGCCCGTCGTCTGTGCTGTGCACCCTTCGATCAACTCAGTGGCCTCAGGCTTCCTCCCTGGGAATCACGTCCCATTCTGAAGGCAGAATCTATCCTTGGCTTGTTGGTCAGTCAGGTGCTGCAAGGGCTGCCCCTCACCCTCCTATTCTACTCAGGTGATCCATGCCCTGTCAGGGTTCCCCTTATCTAATGGCACATCTGGGCCCCAAGACTGGATGATTCTTCCCCTATATATAGACTACTGCCCCTGTCCCTAACTGTAAATATCTTGGCAGCCATGGCTGTAGTTAATGGGAGTCTAAATAAATGTGTGTACTTGAGTGAGGCCTGGGAAGACTGGTTTTTCTTTCTGTGAGATCTCAAAAGTGGTGGGGAAGGGCTTCCTGCCTGTGGGACCCCTCCTCCCCCCCCAAAAGAAAAAAAGAAAACTGACAACAGCTTACTAAGACAGAAATTCCTTTTGTGAGGAACATACTTCATTCTACAATCCTAGGATAGAGTCTTTCCTGGGAGGCAGTTAAAATGATTCCCATGAGTCCTCCAGGGGGACAGCCCAGAATTCTCCCTGTTTCTAATACAGGCCAGAGAACCCAAGACCAGATCTAAAGGCAAAAAGACATCTCGCTTGTACTGGCATCACAGTGAGATTTGGCTCTGCCCTCAGGTAATGCAGAAGGGGCTTTCCTGTCTGCGCCTTCTCCCTTCTGGCCTCACTGAGGACTCATGCAAGCTCTGGCCTGGGAGGAGGCCCATCTCAGCCATGGGGAAAGAGCAGTGCTTCCCCAAGGGCCTCAAAGCCAAACATTGGTATCAAGGCTGAGGAGAAGCACAGTCACAGACGGACAGGGCAGAGCCAAGAACGCCCAGCTGGGTGACACGGAAATCGAAACCTCTCCAGGCTCTAGGCAGAATTGCAGTGAGGGTACCAGCTTTAATGGGTTGCAGGAGTTCCCTCACTTATACCACAGAGCATTTAAATCTGGAAAGGGCCTTAGGCACTCACACTCTAAATCTCTGATCCTGTGGGTCATCTAGTCCAACCCCTTCATCACAGATGAAGAAACTGAGGCACAAGTCCTGAACCTGGAAGTGAGGACCAGGGTTCCACATCTTGGTTCTGACACATGAATGTCACAGAGACAAGTCGATTGTCTGAGCTTAACAATTTCCTACCTTTAAAATTGGATTGTTTTGAGCAAAATCCTTTTTTATATACTTTAAATCGCTATTGTAAATGTGGGTCATTAAAGTTTGTAAAATGCTTTACTATTCAATAACATGATCCTCACAACCACCCTATAAACTAAGTGCTATTTCTAATCCATTTTACAGATAAGGCTCAGGTTAAAAGACTTGTCCAGAGGGGCAGCTAGGTGGTGAGGTGGATAGAGCACCGGCCCTGAAGTCAGGAGTACCTGAGTTCAAATCTGGTCTCAGACCAAACACTTGACACTTACTAGCTGTGTGACCCTGGGCAAGTCACTTAACCCCAATTGCCCAAAAAAACAAAACAAAAAAGACTTGTCCAGGGTCTAAGGTGAGATATGAACCCAGGTCTATTCTTATTCCAAGCCCAGCACTCTAACCTTTGAGCTATTCTACCTCTATTATTGCCTAACATTACTAAGCTAGGACTAGAGTTCAGGTCTCGGTGATGTGGGTGTAGGTATGTGGGGGTTGGGGCAGGGGAGGAGTGAAGGGATAGGCCCTCTACAGAAACCACTTCCTTTCTTCAAATAATCTGACTAGGCTGACCTCATGGTCTCCCATCTGTCCCAGCGACTCCTGGCTCACTTTGCTAATAGTTGATCGTTGAAAAACAATTTTCTCAAGAGAGAAAAAAAAAACAGTTGGGTCACAGCCTGACCTCAAGAAGTGTGTGATCAACAATCACAGGATGTAAAGATGCGTGTGGTGTCGGAGGCAGGCTGCTTTCTGCTCCAGGTAATGACTGGCTAGTCAAAGCCCAGCCTGCCTCCATTTTGTTTGACTGGGACAGAGTGAGCAGTGATATCTTCGTCCTAGATCTCATTTCATCATCTGTCATCCTCCCTGGGCCTCTTCCGGGTTTCCCTTTACTCTTCTGGATACCACCATCCTTGTGGTCACCAAGTTACAACCTGAGCATTACCCTCAACTCCTCACCCTCCCCCACCCCACGTACCCACCCGGTTGTCAGATCCCGTCATTTCTAGCATCTCTGCCCTCTGGCTCCTTTTCTCTGTTCTCACAGCCACCATCAGACCCTCATCTCCTCGTGCACACACTAGCCTTCCAAGTGGCCTTTCTGCTTCAGGGCTCTCCTGATTTCAGTCTATGCTCCACACCGTCGCTAAATTGAATTTCCTAAAGCACAGGTCTAACCATGTTATCTACTCCTGTGGTTCCCTATTGACTCTGGAACCCAATACTACTACATTTTTATCTTAGTCTTTTAAATTTTCTAATTTTGTATAAGGTCTACAACATACGTAACTATCAGTCCAACTTTATGTTTACATAATTTATAAATAAGCACGCACACATGATTGGGGGAGGGGGGAAGGTGCTCACCTTTTACTAATAAAGGTATGAATTGAAAAACTTTGGAGACCACTGTTCAAGGGTAAAATGAAACCTCCCTTCAAACACAAAAGGTGGTTGGACAAAGAGGCACAAGTGACAAACAGCTTCTACACAACCCGACACTGATCATCAGCCTTGGAAAGAGTCCCTGCCACCTGTCCTACATTACAAGCAAAGACACAGAACTGGGAAAAATGAATCACACAGATGCTGAACATTGGAAAAGAGGTTGGATTCAACTCTTAAGTGAATGAAATTAGACTAAAACATGCCTCGGGATGACCATTCCTGAACTGTGCACAAGTAAGAGTCCTTCCAGTGACAGATAACTGACACTAACACCTTATCACATTTGAGCCTCGTGACAGTCCCTGGAGTCTTTCAGTCTTATCTTTTACAGGAAGCCTTTCCCAACCCCTCTTCATTCTGGTACCTTCCACTGGCTAATTATTTTCCATTTATCCTGTAGATTATTTGTTTCTAGTCTCAATGGCAGAAAGCAGGGACCAGCTTTGCCTTTCTTTGTATCTCTAGTGTTTAGCACAATACCTGGCACACAGTAGGTGCTTAATAAATACTTAATGAATGACTGACAAGAAAACAGGCTCAAAGTGGTTCAAAGACTTGCCCACGGTCACAAATCCAGTAACTGTCAAGAGGCTGTAATTGAATTTGAGGCATTACTACCCCAAATTCTCGAAATCCAGAGTCCTAATTAGCTGAATGCTTCTCAAGCACTCATATCCATTAGCTCATTTCAGTAAGCACTGTTGAGGACCATAAGCAGCTGGCATCTATTGTATGCAAAGCTTTGTTTTGGGGAGGAATAAGTCTTACACTTTTTCCCAGGTTTCATGGAGCTTACAGTCTACTAGGAAGGAAAACATTAATAGACATCAATATACGATAAATGCGTCAGAGAGGAGCTAAGTACTATGTAGGGTCCAAGGAGGATGGAGGAAAGCTTTTGTGGTAGAAGCATTAGCCTAATACTGTCCCCTATGCAGGTTAGCCTAGTTTTTCCTTAAAAGGTATTGAGACATTCCAAGACAATAATAAAAGCTAGCATTTACATTGCATCTACAATGCAGTTTAGAAATATTACCTCACTTGATCCTCACAACAACCCTGAGAGGTAGGTGCTATTATTTTTACAGATGAGGAAACTGAGGCAAACAAGTTTAGTGACTTGCCAAAAGTCACACAGCTAGCAGCTATCTGAGGCTGGATTTGAACTCTGGTCTTCCTGACTCCAGGCCCTCTATCCACTGTGTCACTTAGCACATAGTAGGTGCTTAATAAATGTGTGTGTGTGTGTGTGTGTGTGTGTGTGTGTATACACACATAGAAAATATAAATATATACTAAATATATAATAAAAGGTTTATATGTATACATTCATATATACACAAATATGTACATACACATACATGGGTATACATGCATATATGCATGCACAAGTATATACACATTGCATATATGTATATATGTGTGTATGTTCAGTTTCTTGCCCAAGGTCACAAAACTTGCATCAGAAATGGGCTTTGAACCCTGTTGTGTGCCCAAACCCATCCATCATTCTATCCACTATAATTTTTTTAAATGTGCATTTATTTAAAATTTTTAAAGCATACCTTCCTGTCTCAGGGTATTCACCTGCCTGAGGTAGTAAGGTGGTAGAGTGGAGGGAGTGCTGGGCTTGGACTTAGGAAGATCTGAGTTCAAATCCTGCTCAGGCATTAACTGTGACTCTGGGCAAGTCACTTGTCTCAGTCTTAGTTTCCTTATCTGTAAAATGGAGATAATAACAACACCAACTTCATGGGACTGTTGTAGGGATCAAATGAAATATGTAAAACGCACTTTGCAAAACTTAAAGCACTATTTAAAGCCTGATCTACTATTATTTTGCTCTCTAAGTGGATGCCTATAAGAACATAAATTCCATGATAACGAGGACTAGTTCATTTCTAATTTTCTATCTCTAGTTTCTCACATCACTATGTTAGAGCCCTCTCTGTATAAAATAGGTGCTTAATAAGTGTTTGTGGAAGTGATGCATACTTTGCCTGTACCTAGTTCCTTCTCTGATCCCCATACCCAAATAGAAACAGCAGTAATATGGTCCCAGGTGGGAGCCTTCTTGTTCTTTTGGGCTCTTGATCATGACGGGTAAAATAAGCCACCTAGATTTTGTGCTTCCTTGATTCATAAACCATGACTCTACTCCATTTTCCAAGTCTAGCTCAGGGATGGGCCACGGGGATGGGCCATGGCCTATGATTTCACTGGTACAAGGACTTCCAAAACCCTCTCTACTGGTACAGATCTGCTTCTTCCACTTCGTCTTAGAAAATTGCCTCGGGCGACTGAAGGGTTAAGTAACTTACCCTGGATGACACAGCCAGTGTATTTCAGAGAGCGAGACTTGAACCAAGCCTTCCTGCACTATGCCACACAGCCCCTCTATGGCTTGTCATGGTAACAGCAAATGATGAAATGTAAGTTAGTGGGCTCTGCTGCCTTTTGCTCTGTGCCCAGAAACGGCAAACTCCTTCTGATATCGCCTGTGCCAAACAAAATTAGATTTACCTGTTGCTATAAGAGAAAACTTAATTAGAAGGCTTCCGGCTTCTCTTCTAGATCACCCACACTCCATTTCCTTTACTAGTCTAAATAATTGAGAGCTGACAGCATTACTGATAGTCCCTGTTAACATGCCCAGCCCCTCTTAGTGAACAATGATCCCGTTTACCTCTGGGCTTCCCTGGCTTCCTTCAGGTCCTAACTAAAAAAAATCCCACCTTCTGTGAGATTTTAAGTTTTAACCAATCCCCCCAAATTCTAATCTTGTGCCTTCCTTCTGTTATTTCCTATTTATCTTTTTGGGAAAAAATTAATTATTTTTAATTATATATAATTGTTATTAATTTATTTTATGGAATAAAACAAGCATTTCCATAACATATTATGAACAATTAAAAAAAGATGATTGGGGCAGCTATGTGGTGCAGTGGATAGAGCACTGGCCCTGAAGTCAGGAGGACCTAAGTTCAAATCCGGCCTCAGACCAAACACTTGACACTTACTAGCTGTGTGACCCTGGATGAGTCACTTAACCCCATTGCCTAGCCAAAAAAAAAAAAAAAAAGAAATGTTTAATTGACTGACTGACTCTAGACTTGAGCCAAAGCTCAGACCCACATGCTAAACTGTTGCCCTCTACTAAGGGAGACTCCTTGGGATGACATAGGGAAGTGAGGGGGACCCAATGGAAGGGCCTGGATGACAGGTCCTAGGGCCAAGAGAGCTGGGGAGCAGGGGAATCAGACAAGACATCCAAAATTTTGGGGCCAGGGTTCAAGTTTGGGCCAGTTTAAAGAAAGATGGTTCCTTCCCAGCCTGTGGAGGCTACTTGGGGAGTAGCTCCCTATGGGTTCTGAGGACCAGGTAGCAGGAATTGATCCTGAGGAAGAGCTTCCTGGTATTGAATCTGATCCGTCTTGACCTGATGGCAGGGTCAGGATATAGCAAGCTCTGTGTCTACTATCTCCTTCTTGAAGGTATCAACCCCCAGCTCCACAGCATAGCTTCAGTTTACTACTCTATGCAAGGATACATTGAACTGATTAACCCAGATCTTTATCAGCGGCTGTATTTTCTGAGCCCCAAATTAGGGTAGATGGTCTTTTTCTAATTTTTGAAAAGCACAGAATATCTGAAATCAGAACTGAGTACTGGGAAATTTGTGTCAGGGAAATTCAGGATGTACAATCTGCTTATACATATCTCCACCTATTCTTAATCCCAACCCCTGGAGATTCCATTTTAGACACAAACTCCTGTAAGGGGCCAGTGAGTTCAGATAGGACAGTATAATCCTTCCCCAGTTTTTTTCATTCAGGGCCCTCTTACCAACACACTGAACCTAACTAATTAGTCCTTACTAATTAGTCTCTGGGTAGCTAGGTGGCCAGGGGACAGAGCACCAGGCCTGGAGTCAGAAAAGTTCAAATCTGACCTCAGACACTCACCAGCTGTGTGACTCTGGGCAAGTCACTTAACCCTGTTTGCCTTAGTTTCCTCATCTGTAAAATGCACTGGAGAAAGAAATGGCAAACCACTGCAGTATCTTTGCCAAGAAAACCCCAAATGGAGTCATGAAGAACTGGACACAACCAAAAAATGACTGAACAATAAAAGGTTAGTTTTAATTAACTTAGCCTTTGCCCCATCCTGCTGTCATCCCCTCCACCCACCCAAGGATCCCCATGTCTAAACCAAGTAGAAGAATGAATCACACAATGTTAGAGCTAGAAGGGAGCATTTAGCCCAACCCCCTCATTTTACAGATGGAGAATGAAGCCCAGAGAGGTCAAGTAACTTACCTAAGGTCACACAGTAAATGACAGCTTGGGCTGGAGCCTCTGCCTCCAGGTCCATTGCTCTTCTGTATGGCACATTGCCTTCCTTCCTAGCACAGATACAAGGAAAGAGAGTCAAGTGTTGATCATTTGGGAGCCATTAGCCAGTTTGGAGCTTATCCAGATCATTTCGTTTCTCCGAGCAAATGAAGGAATCCCTCCTGTCTTCCTGTCTTTCACTGCCTGTTTTGCTGTTAATGGGCATGTCCCTAAGAATGGTGGTTTTGGATTATCTGTGGACTTTTCCCATTTATTCTGCTTCTCTGTACCTAGCCTGTGTTCACTAACCACTGGAGAGTTATACAGCCTAGATGAAGAATGAAGACAAAAGGAGAATTTAATGTAAAACAGCCTCATGCAGACCCAGTCAAAGGGTGAATTTCTCTGGCTAAAAAAGCAAGTCTCTGACCATTACTTGCATTATGTAAAAAATAACTCCTGTCATGAGATGCCAGCACCTCATATGCTAGGCTCTTTGGCAGTGACATATGAGCCCAGCATGGGACCCCATTGGTCTAAGGGGCATCAGCCTCTTAGACCAAGCTATTCCATTCTTAGGGCTCACCTTGGGGTTCTGGAGACCTCAATAGCGATCAATAGACCTCTAGGAGCCCCTTCCCACTCCTGTGGCTGCTCCTTGCCCCCACCCACCCAGGAGTGGTAGGACCACTCCAAAGCCACGGTCACACGTTCTCAGCCATTTGCCTGGAAAACTGCATTTTAATTTGTGGCCCCTTACTGGGCAGCAGGGCAGCTGCTGCTGAAAGTTGGAATCCGACCCGCCATACAGATGGAGCCTAGTTGCTATGGCAGCTGGGTATTTATTACCATCCCTCTCCACCCCAAGTTGGCATTGGCTGGACTTTAGCACTGAATCAACAAAAAGGGAAATAACAAAGAAGGAATCTTGAGACTCCAGGTAGCCGGCTCCAGACTCAAACAGTGGAAATAATGGTGAGTGAACTGAAGTCTCTAGTCAGTATCAGCGTGGATAATTTCTTCTTGTTAACTTCCTCTCTTTCTCTCTGCTACAGGCAAAATTTCTGTCCCAGGATCAAATTAATGGTATGTACAGTTTTCTTTTTAATTAGCAGGATCAAACACATTTGCCAGTCTGAGGCAGTTATTGTGAAAATAAGCCTCATTCTGAGTAGTTCAGCTGTATTGATTATAGCTGCTCTGGTCCTGGGGTTGGGGTGGGGGTGGTAGCAGCAGCTGAGGGGAACGGTGGTCCACAATCTGGGCTGGGAGGGTAAGCAGGCCCAGGCATCGGCCCCTGATGGACCTCCTGGTCTCTCCTGGGACAGTTGCTCAGATCCTGGAAGGAATGTCGAGTTCGTTGAGGAAGGCAAGACTGGAAAAAGCATGGAGAGTGAAGAAAGGGAGTTGTTTGATTTGGAAAACAAAGGAGGAAGAAGAAGGGGGAAAAGGGAAAAAAGAGGAAGAGGAGGAGGCAAAGGGGAAAAGGAAGGGAAGGAAGAAAGACAAATCTCATTAGATTTTACTCGGACTTCTTCTAAAGTACTTCCTGCCTAGCCTGCCAAGGAGGATTTGAGAGGAGAACGTTGAAAGACACTTTCTTGGGTTTATATTCTTTTTAACGAGCCAGTTGGACACACGTAACAGCCCAGATGAAGGACGTTGGGAGTCCAAGTGAAGTTTGAGGTCTGCGGTTCTTTCTTTCTGTTTGGTCTCTCACGAGGGCCAATTCTCTTCCTTTAAAGATGAGGAAATTGAGGCCTAGAGAATGGAAGTGACGCGTCCAAGGTCACAGAGCAAGCACTGGTCTAATTCTTTGTGGTAGGGTCTCTCTCTCAAACGTGCTCACCCCCTCAGGAAATGAAAAGAGGAACAAATGTACATTTCCTGCCTCTGTCATCTTGGCAAAGCGGGAGAGTTTGCAACGGAGAAATGGATGGAAGAGAATCAGAGGCTCTTTGCCACAGTCCCCTCTAAGAAGTCATCCTGCTCCCCAGCCCGGGGTCGCTCATCCCCTCCCCTCCCCAAACATCAAAGCTGTAAAGGAGTCTGAGTAAATGGACAACTCCTCCCTCCGTCCCCCACCGACCTCTACGCGCTCTGCTCCCCACCCCCACCAGGCTGCCTGCCCATCTCCCTCCTCATCCCAACCAAACATGACAGCGGGCGACAGGAATTCAGACCATTAATTCTTGCTCCCTGAGCCGAGCGTCCTCACACCGAATTAGGCTCTGGCAGGAAATGAAGATGTCACGTCCGATTTCTTTACGTTCCACTTAAAATCCTCAGTCCCATCCCCCTGCTCCCCACGAGGCGTCTCCTCTAATTAGCCCTCTGTTGAGCCCCAGTGGTACCCGGCCCTCTCTCCCGCATCCTCCCAGGCTCCTCCGCCGCTATCCCGAGCCAAAAGCCTGGGCAATGGAGCTAGTTTGTGGACAGAGCAGCAGCTCCCCACCCCCACCCCAACTTTCCTCTGTTTACAGAAAAGGCAGCTAATTGACTTTGAACACCGCCCACCCTGCCTTTCATTAGTATTCTGGACTGTAACCCTACGCACATAAATGTTTCAAAAGCTTTTTCCCCCAGCAGAGATCCTTTGGCTCTCTGATGGATGTTCCGAGGCTGAGGAACTCCATAGTTCATTAATTAGGAAACATTAAGAGGCCTCTGGCTCCCTCGTAGCCACCACGCTCGGTTCTTTTTTCCCTGCCTCCCCCCCAAACCCACCCACAGCCTGGTGCTCGCTCCCCGCAGAGCCAGGCTCTGTCAGAGGGGGGACCTGGGCTGGGCCGGACCTCCGTGGGACAGTTAAGCTTGGATCCCTAAGATGACTGTGGAGCAGCCGGGGCCAAGAGTCCAGGGACTAAGAGATCTTGGGAGCGAAGACTCGGGGATTTGGAATTGGTCTGCTCTGGGGAAGAGAAGACAGAGGAAATCTATCGCCATATCATCAAGTCTATAGGAGACGATGTTAAGCAAGAATTTCTCTCCTCAGTGAGAGCAAGTGGACTCCAAGCTCGGTGAGACCCAAAGAGGAACCGCATAGAATGTTAGATCTGGAAAGCCAGAGAAAGCGCCAGGCCTGGAGTCAAGACGACTTGAGTTCAGATACTTACTACCTTCAGATACTAGCTGTGAGACCCTAGGCAAGTCACTTAACTGCTGTCTGCCTTGGTTTCCTCAACTATAAGATGGGGATAATAACAGCACCCAACTCCCCAGGGTTGTTGTGAGGAGCAGATGAAAACAAATATTTTTTTTTTTTTTCTAGGCAATGGGGTTAAGTGACTTGCCCAGGGTGCCTGGTCTCAAGCCGCATTTCAACTCAGATCCTCCTGATTCTAGGGCCAGTGCTCTATCCACTTTGCCACCTAGCTGCCCCCAAAAACAAATATTGTAAAGTACTTACTTAGCACAGTGTTTGGCCCCTAGTAGATGCTACCTAAATGCTATTGTTAGTATTTCAGTCTCAGCCCCTCATTTACAGTGGAGGAAGCAGGGATGTGGACCAGATGCCCCCTGGAGTTGCCAGATAGCAAATTGAGTCCAAGCTCTTCCCGGGAAGCAGATGTAATTTTCCTTTAGGAAAGCTGTGGTTTTTAGGGGGTCGTATTTCACCATCCGGGTTGTATCAGCTCTCATTTTGTGGGCATGGTGGGATAAACCCGGTTTGCTTTTTTCCCCATCCCCTACTAAGGATGAAGGAATACTTCCTTTGTTTCTTTCTCCTTTCCTGAAACAGAGTTCAAGGAATGCTTCTCCCTCTACGACAAGGAACAAAGGGGGAGAATAAAAGCTAACGACCTAATTGTGGTGATGCGATGCCTGGGGGCCAGCCCGACCCCAGGAGAAGTCGGAAGACACCTGCAGGATCATAAACTAGGTAAGTCAGCTGGAGCCAGGAAGCTCTGGAGGGAGCTGAGCAGAGGTTATTAAGTAAGAAGCAGCATCAGGCCTGCATCCACAGCTGTCAGCCTGGTGGGGAAGCTGAATCAGTGCAGTGGGAGGACCACGGGGGTGACAGAATGTAGGCCACCAGGACCAGCCTGGGAAGGAGGAAAACTAGAAACAGAGGCTGGGGAAGGCGGGTCGAGACTCTAGGCCTGAACAATGCCCTTCCTTCCTCCCACTACGTCCCCCTTACAATCCCCTCTCTCTGCCCCCCCCAACACAAAAGTCCTACGGGGAGACAGGAAGAGAAGTATATAAAAGAAAAGCAAACCCACGCGCCCAAGACAGGAGAAATGATAGAAGCTGTGTACAGCTGAACATCTGTACTCAAGCTTCATGGGGAAAGGGTTTAGACCTTAGGAGATTAGGGCACATCAGTCAGACACAGACTGGAGCCAGAAGCCAAACCAGGAGGAAAAAACCCCTGTGGCCAAGGTTCCCTTTTCTTTTTAAAGTGTTCTTAATTAGAAACTTAACAATTAAGGACAAATATAAACATTTCTATATACAAAGAACAGAAAAGAGGATTGTATATGAAACCGTGACCTTCTCTTATTTTAATTTGTAATTAAATTAAATTTTTTCAATTGAAACAAATTGAGTTTTCTCTTCTTCCTACCTCCATCCCACTCCAGTCAAAGAAAACAAAAACCCTTGATGTTCTTTGTTATAAACTTAACAATTATGGACAAATATAAATATTTCCATATACAAAGAACAAAAAAGAGGATTATATATGAAACCATGACCTTCTGTTAGTCTATTTGTATTCACATTTTTTTCAATTAATAAAAATTTAATTTTTCTACTCCACCCACCCACTCCTCATCAAAATAAAAACAAAAACTCTTGACTCTGTATAGTCAAGCAGAAAAAAATTCCTGTATCAGCTGCATCCAATAATGGATGTTTCCTTCTTCATGTTGAATCCATTTCCTCTCTATCCAGAGGTGGGAAATATGTTTCCCCCCTGGTCCTCTGGAATCTTGGATGGTCACTGCATTGATCCGAGTTTTGAAATTATTCAAAGTTGTTTGTCTTTTTGAGGTTGTTTGTTATTGTATACATAGTTCTCCTGGTTCTGCTTACTTCATTTTGCTTCAGTTCATACAACTCTTCCCAGGTTTCTCTGAAACCAACCCTTTCATTATTTCTTACAAGGGCCTCTTTCTTTTCTTTCCTTTTTTTTTTCCTGGTGAGGCAATGGGGTTAAGTGACTTGCCTAGGGTCACACAGCTAGAAAGAGTTAAACACAGCACATAGGCAATCCTGTAAAAACTGGTGGGAAGGATGTGTATGTGGGACTGGGGTGAGGGAGGCAGGAAGATATTAATTCTTCAGTCAGTATATGTGCCTAGGGGCAGCTAGGTGGTGCAGTTTATAGAACTCTGTGTCTGACACTTGAAAAGACCTGAGTTCATATGTGACATCAGACACTAACTGTGGGACCCTGGGCAAGTTATTTTACCTTCTGTTTGCCTCCGTTTCCTCACCTGTAAAATGGGGATAATAATGAGATAATATTTATTTTAAAACTGCCTAACACATAATAGGCAGTATATGAATGCTTCCTCCTTTAAAGTCTGCAATGTGTGTGCTTTCCACACTTTACCTCATTTGAGTCTCATATAACAACCTTGGAAAGAAGGTACTCTGCATGTTATCTTCATTTTACAGATGAGGAAACTAAATTCAGAGACCTTAAATAACTTACCGTTGGCCCGTGGTCAAACATCTACTAAGTTACAGATTTAGTGCTAAAAGGGATCTTGCATGTTATCAATTCTCCAAATTTTACAAGTGAGGAAGATGGAATGACATGCCCAATGTCACACAAGTAGTGTATGTTAGAGGTGGGATTCAAACCCAGGCCCTCTGACTCCAAATCCCTTAGCTGCTTGGGAAGAGAAGGAAAAGTAGCATGCAGGCCTAGATTCTCTCTGTCTCAGATGCAGAATTTGAACCCAGGGTGTTCCTGACTTCAAGTTCATCGTTCTATGCACTATACTGTAACTGACCCTCCAAAAAGGAAACTATGCCTCAAAACTGTAACTCAGGAGTGATGTGTACAACCAAAATAAGAGAGAGAGACAGAAAGGAAGAGACAGAGAGAGACAGACAGAAAAACAGAGAGAGACACAGAGATAAACAGAGAGATAGAGAGAGAAGAGACAAAGAAACACAAAGAAAAACAGAGCGAGAGAGAGAGAGAAAGAGAGAGATCGATCCAAGTCACCAGTCACTGGCACTGAACTGAAAGCTTGCTTTTGGTGGCTGGGGACCACAGGCAAGGTCAGAGATAAAGGAAAGTGTTCTATCCCAAACCCCAAAATACTGGGAGGAGTGGTTCTGATGCGGTTTAGGGGTTCAGGGGTGCTGGGACCCCAAAATCACAATACGTGGGTCCTGCCCGAAAGAATTCGACCCAAACCTTCTTTCAGCCAAAGACAAGGTTTATTAGAACATCCATCATATTGGGCAGACTCTTAAGGAGTCTGAACATGGGTAAGCAGTGGTTAGACTACAAGAATCTAAGCAGTGGCTAGATTTTAAGAATCTGAGCATCTTAATGGAGACAAGATGGACCTTATATATAGAAAGACTGTGGGAGGGATCTACGAGTGGCCAAGTAGTTTGGGGTGAGTGGAGGAGGGGTCTAAGGAGATCTGGATGGGAGTGGCCAGCAAGCTGGGGTGAACAGAACTCCAGTCTAGCTAGGATTAAGTGTGGGAAATGGCCAGGGGCCATAGGGAGGTAAGACAATGGAGGGGAGATTGGGTGTACCCACAATGAAAGGCCAGTTGATGGGATTACAGCCTCAGGGGAACACCAGAGATTTGGCCATGTGGGAAGGTCCAGGGTTTTTCCTTTCTGGGGTCCAGATCCCAACCCCATCAGTTCTAAATTTTGGCTTTTGTTTTGGGGTTTCTTGTTCCAAGAGATTGGTTGGTTATGTCCTTGTTATTTTCCGGAGTTTTGTCTTCTTTTCACAGGAAGTCAAAGTTTACAGAACATTCAGTTTTCATTCATCACACCTCGGGGTCTCTGATGATCCGGAGCTGTCACAGCTCCCTCACATGCTCCCTTCTGAGCCCACTGCCTAATGAATTAGTAGCTTTCATACATAAAAGCTGAGAATGAAATGGAAGGACTCTTGAGGCAAATCTCAGAATCACAGAATGTTAGTACTGGAAGGGACCCTTAGGATGACTAGTTTAGTCTCATCATGTAGTAAAAATAACACTGCATTTGAAGAAGGTTTGAGTTCTGGTCTAGGCAGTAACTAGGGTGGAGCAACTAGAGCTTTGCTTCAAGGCATCAGAATTTGAATATCATGAATTGTACTTGCAGTCTCTTGGGATCAGTTTCCTGGAGTCTTATGATGTGCCTCCTTTCCCTGGCATATCCCTGGAGACATCTCCCTTCCCACCAACCTTTATACCCTTTGCTCTAGGCACTAAAATTGCCAGTTACAGCTCTGAGTTCTGGTTCATTCACTACCTATATGACTTTGGAGAATCATTTAATACATCTGGGAGATTGCTTCTCCATATTTAAAGTAAGGACATTGTTCTTGTTCTCTACAAGTCCCTTCTGGCTCTAAGTACTATGGATCCCCTCATTTTGCGACAAGGAAAATGACTTGCCCAAAGTCTCATAGTTAGGAAGCAGAAAGCTGGGACTTGAACCCAGACCTTCTGACTCCAAGTCCTGGGTTTGCCCTGCTGTGCCATGTTTCCTTTGATCTATGTTGTTCACTTGTTTTAGTCATATCCGACTCTTCGTGACCCCATTTGGGGTTTTCTTGGCAAAGATACTGGAGGAATTTGCCATTTCCTTCTCCAGTTCATTTACACCTGAGGAATATAAAGCAAACAAAGGGGACTTGCCCAGGGTCACAGTGTCTGAGGCCGATTTAAACTCAGATTTTCCTGACACTTTATTCACTGGGCCACCTAATTGTCCTCTCCTCCAATCCATAGGGAAAGCAATTGTAGAAAAATTAAAAAGGTAGGTCCCCCTCTTTTTAATTTTTTTTTGTCCTGAGCTTATGTTGATGTGATGATTAAATCCCTATTAGCCTCTCTAAGGTCTCTTGGAGAAAACTCTCCTCCTTATCCCTTGTGCTTTGGCATTTCCAGACAGAAATGCAGAGCTGGACTTCTCTACCTTCCTTACCATCATGCATAAGCAAATGCAACAGGAAGAACCACAAAAAGAAATTCTGTTGGCCATGTTGATGATCGATAAAGAGAAGAAAGGGTACATCACCGCAGAAGAGCTAAGATCCAAACTCACTAAACTGGGAGAACGGCTAACTGACAAGGAAGGTAAGGGACCTCTTTGTGTGGCTGAAGGCAAATGACCTGCCCAAGGTCACAGGAGCTGAAGAGGACAAAGGGCTCATTTCTGCTGCTCCATTAGCTGCTAACACAGTTGGGAGTGACGAGCTTTAGAAGTTAGGGGTCCTGGAACGCCAAAATCACAACAGGTGAGTCCTGCTTGAAAGAATTCGACCCAAGCCTTCTTGCAGCCAAAACCAAGGTTTATTGAAGATTCGCCATATCAGCCAGACTCTTAAGGAATCTGAGCATCTATGGGCTATTGGCTAGATTGTGAAAATCTGAGCATCTTAATGGAGACAAGATATGGACCTTATATACAGAAAGACTGTGGCAGGGATCCAGGAGGGGCCAAGTAGTCTATGAGGTAACAGAATTCCAGGGAAATGGAGCCTAGGTGGGACCTAGGGCTAGACGTGGCCTGGGGCCATAGGGAGGCAAGACAATGGAGGGCCAGGCTAGGTCAAGGATAACAGAATTGGGGGATTGGGTGTAGCCAAAATGATGGAATCATGGCCTCAGGGGAACACCGGAGATCTCCTTGATTAAGTGAGAGAATTCAAGGATAATCCAAAAGTTTTCTAGGGCCCATAGACAAATGGAGCCCAAATTGGGACAAAGGTCTCACTTTGGGCCCATACCTCATCAGGAGGATCTGCCCGTTGCTAGGCACGACTTGAGGTCCTCCCAGCACCTTCTCCATACTTCAACCATGATCTCCTTAAAATAGGATCACAGATTTACAGTGAAAAGGGCTCTTAGAGTCCATGTAGGGTAGCCCCCTCATTTTTTTAAAAACAGATACAGAAACCGAGGCCCAGAGATTTTAAGTTACTCACCTCACGTAAGTACTACACAAATAGTAAGTTGCAGAGGGAGAATTTGAACCCAGGTTCTCTTAGATCCACAACTATCATTCTTTCCACCATTGTTCTTGTTTCAGTCATGTCCAACTCTTTGTGACCCTGTTTGAGGTTTTCTTGGCAAAGATACTGGAGTAGTTTGCCCTTTCCTTTTACGGATGAAGAAACTCATTTTCCTCTACAGGGTAAAGTGACTTGCCCAGGGTCACACAGCTAGGCAGTACCTGAGGCTAGATTTGAACTCAGGAAGATTAGCATTTCTGACTCCAGGCCAAGCTCTATCCACTTCATCACCTAGCTGCCCTTAAGGCAGTTGGAGTAGATTTGGGGTGGGGAACCTGCAGCCTTGAGGCCACACGTGGCCCTTTAGGTCCGCAAATGCCGCTCTTTGGCTGAATCAAAATTTCACAGAACAAATCCGCTTGATAAAAGGAATTCCCCAAGATCTCTGAGGTACCTTTTTTAAAATTAATTTATTTTGATTTATCAATAATAACTTCAATGTGCTTTTGAGTTTAAAATTTTTCTTCCCCTTCCTCCCCACCCCTCTCCCCAAGACGGTGCACAATCTGATATAGGCTATCTGAGGTATCTTTCTACCTCTAAAATTCTGTGAATTTAAAACACAACTTTTTTTTGAGTGATGATTTTGGATAAGAAATTTAACTCATTCCAAGCAGAGGCAAAAATTTAGGGGTTTCCTTGAAATGTTTTAAATCCATCAGTCAGACTCAGTGGCACTGTCAGTATTTAAGGAAAATTTGCTCTTCCAAGAATGTCAGCCAGCCTTCAAAGGAAGGTAGTTTCCAAACCTACCAAGGACTTTTCCTCAGGCCCCTCCCTGTTCTTGAAGTTCACGTGGGTATCTGACCTTTGTCCTCGACAACTAGAAAAGCAAATATCTAGGAGTAATCTGGTTCTGACACCCACACAATTTCCAGGGAAATACAGTATGTCAGGAATGCACAGGAGGATTGGACTCCAGTTGAAACCTTTCTAAATCAACAGAATCACGGCCAACCTTTCCGCCTCCTAAGAACTTGTCTTTTTATTTGAGAAACCAGATCCTCCTTGGGCCTGTCTCCAACACGAAGCCTCTACAGCAGACAAAGACAAAGACCCTGCTCCAGAATGAACCACTTTGAATTCTGTCTTTAGGATCTCCTCCCCCCCACCCCCAACAGCATGGTGGTCAGGCCCAAACCACCGTTTGTCCTCCCTCCCCCTCGGGGAATCTGGACACTGGGCTGCTGTGGGGTATGTGACTCACGGATCTAGCTTCCTTTCAGTCTGTTCTAGCTTGGGTTTCCCTTCACAGCATTACCTGATCACATCACTCTCAACATTTCAGGTTTCTTCATAGGTGACAACCAAATTCCAGAGCCTGAGGCCAGAAACCTGGGAGAAATTTTCCTTCTGGTTAATTGCTTAATTCCTTTTCTTTCAGGCCCCTACAGAAAATTCAGCTGATATTTAATGAAAGCCCAATCTAAGCAACAGAAAAGGGTGGGTGGGTGGGAAATCCACTAGCTATCCAAAATAGATCCTTTTTTTTCCTTAAAAAAAAAATCAAACTAGATACTTTTTTGGGGGGGAGTGGGGAAGGGGCTTTTTTTTTTTATATCCCCAGTACTTAGCACAATGTTTGGAAAATAGTAGGTGCTTAATAAATAATTGTGGATTTGACTTGACTTGTCAGAGAGACCTCAACAGTAAAAACATTTAAGTCAAAGATTTTTTTTAAAAAGTACCTACTTTTTAGCTATTGGATGACAGGCAGGTAGCTTCAGTGAATCTAGAAGTCTCAGGTCAAATCTGGCCTCTGACACAAACTAGCTGTGTGATTTTGAGCAGATGACTTAACCTGTCTGTGTCCCAGACCCCCAAGACTATGAATTGCAGAGCAATTAAAGATCTGAACTTGGGAGAGGGGGTTTTCTCCTCAGGAGTTTCCTAAACTATATGTCCAGACAACCAAGAAAATGTATGAGGCCCAATGCAAGGTGCTTGAAATTAAAGAATATTAAAAAATATATATATCAAAATGAAAGAATAACAGGATCCCTCCCCTCAAGCAGCTTACATTCTGGAATGGGGAATAAGACATATGCACCAGTGGTTATGATAAATTGTTATGTATGTAGGAGTGGTTAAACAGAAGGGTATGGTAGATTTGTTAGAAGGAAGGAAACACTTCTACGTGAGGCATCAGGAAAGGCTTCATGAAGGGGGTGGGGTGGTCCCTCAGCTGGGCTTGGAAGAAAAAGGTTTTTAATGAGCAATGGTCTACAATGAGACAGTTCCAAGGATAGGCAATGGTATCCAGGGATCTAGGCCCTCAGGTGCAACCCTTTGACTGAATCCAAACTTCACAGAACAGGTTCCCCACCCCTGGTACACAAATTGATTAAGGCAAGAGAGGGTGGGATGAGGTTACTCCGGGATTCGCTGGAACATATTGTTGTTCAGTTGTTTCAGACTCTTTGTGACCCCATTTGGGGTTTTCTTGGCAGAGATACCGGAGTGGTTTGCCATTTCCTTCTCTAGCTCATTTGACAGATGAGGAAATTGAGGTAAACAGGGTTAGGTGACTTGCCCAGGGTCATACAACTAGTAAATGTCTATCTCTAGATTTGAATTCAGGTCCTCCTGATTCTAGGCCCAACACTCTATCTGCTTTAGCTGGAACATAGCAGAGAAGGAAAATAGTATGAATAAGGCTAAGAATCGCATGTTGGAGCTTCTAACTCCTTCAGGCAATGAAGAACCATGGGAGATTTTTGAACAAGGGGATTTTCTGCTCAGATCTGCATTAGGAAGATAAATTGGGCAGTATTCTGAAGGCTGGACTGGAGAGGGGATAGACATGTTTGTCATATAGATTGGGATCTACAAATTTTTCAGGGAGGGATTCCTATATCTTCATGAATCCCCCATGAAATATAAAAAAATACTTGTAGGTAGGCGCACACCTTAAAATTTTTATCACCTTTCTAGGAACTGGATTTGAAAATTTTGTGGGGTTTGGTTTTTTTTTGGTTTGGTTTGGTTTTGCATTTGGATATGGGCAACTTAAAGGGAATAAAAATTAATACAATCTCAGAGTTGGAAGGGACCTCTGATGTCATCTATTCCCATCAAGCCATATAGGAGTAGAATCCCCTCTATAATATTGCTAAAGAGTAGTCACCCATCTTCTGCTCAAAGACTTCTAGTGATGGAAAGGAACACTGATGATGAGGAAGGAGGATGGACCCAGCAATAAACCTCTCCCTGTCAAGATTTTGCCTAAGACTCATTCCATTTCCAGTGCTTCCCTATGCCATGGTATCATAAACAAACATCCTTGGGAATGACTCTTAACACTGAGGTCTGCAAACAAAAGAGCCTCTTTGACATGAAAAGCCTTTTCTAGAACATTTCCTAACTTGGGAACCAGAAGACTTATCCTTGCTAAATATGATCTGACACTTGAAGGAAATATCCCTATTGTATTTTTCTCCAAGTATAGGGCTTTGCATGCCACAGAATATTAGGATTGGAAGAAACCTCAGAGGTTGCTGGGTCAGAAAGTCCCTCTGTCCTCTCCTTGCATTCTTCTAGTGAGGGGAGAACCCACTACCTTTCTAATCCACCTTTGGATAACTGTGGGCAAGTTTTTCCTTATATGAAGCCTCTTGGTAGCTTCTACACTCTACTCCTGGTTTTGTCTTCTGGGACCAAATGAATAAGTCTAAACTCTCTTCCCTGGGCACAGACCTTCAAATCCTTGAAGATACAAGACTATCATGTCTCTTTCTCCCGACATATGGTATAATTTTCAGACCCTTCACTACCCTGGCAGTCCTATTCTTGACTTGGTCCACCTGGATCAGTGTCCTTGATCAATGTCCTTCCTAAATGTGACTCTCAGAACTGAACAGTCTTCCAGATATGGTCCAACTAGGGCAGAATTAAAATGATCTGTGACTTCTCTGGCTCTGGACACCATATTTCTCTTCACTTTTCAATGCAATCCATGGGCACATCACGTTTTTTGGGCTATCCCATCACAAATAATAATTAGAGGCAGAACATTTTCTGAAGAGTTGAGAAATGTCAAGAACACAATTAAAACCTTGGGATCTAAATAAACTTCCCTAGGTAGTGAGACGCTCAGTTCCTTCTGCAGGAAGCATCAAGCACTTAGAATTTTTTTGGTGGCTCACCGAAATCAGTTCATGATGGACTTGGGAGTTAAGAAGACCTGTATTCAAATCCTGCCCCAGACTCTAGATGGGCAAGTCATAACCCGTTTTGGGCCCATTTTTCCTATTCACTAGATGGCCTTTATGACACCATCCAGCTCTGAATTTATGATCTTATGATCTTTTCAATAACCAAAATGGTGGAGTGGATAGCCCACTGGGCCTAGAGTTAGGAAGATCTGTCACTAACCAGCTGTGTGACCTTAGGAGAGTCATTTAACTTCTGTCTGCCTCATTTTTCTCAACTGTAGAACGGAGTACCTCATAGGGTTGTTTTGAGGATCCCATGAATTAAATATTTGTGAAGTGCTTGGCCCAGTGCCTGGCACATAGTAGATACTGAATATATTCTTGTTCCTTTTCTTTTCCTTTTTCTTTAGGGAACAGCCACAAACTTTTCTTTAATATTCTTTGTTGAAAAAGGAATTAGCATGGTGGACTGTGGAGTCAGGAGGCCTGGATTCTAGTCCCATCTTCTACCATTAATTAGCAAGATCCCTTTTCTCTGTTTCTCACATCTATAATAAGGTAGCTGGCTTACATGATCTCTCATCCATCACAGCTGTACCATTCTACAAATCTCTGGATCCAGTGAGTAGGTATATGCTATTTTTATCCACAAGATTGTTTAAAATCACTAAGGGCTTTAAGGATAAAATAAATATTTCTCTTCACTTCTTCAATCCAGTAACCACCAAGATAGTAACTGATAGAGCACCTAGATTTTTTTCCCCCAGATTCTGAGGGACCTGCCTAGGTCCTTTATCTGCCAGCTATTGAGGCATACTTGTGGATGGAAATCCAGTCTTGGAGCCAGGAAGATCTGGATTCAAGTCTCACTTGCTGCACACATTAAGGGCTGTGTGACTGTGACCAAGTCAACATTCCTTCTTAGTGATCCTAAGCAACTCTCTGAGGGTCCAAGTTGTAGAATAATCTTACCAGTGAAATCATAGGTTGTTCCAAAAAATATATGGGGAGTTAGCAAGTAGGCTGCTGTTATTCTCCTAATTCATGTGTTTAATGGTCTGTATCTAAAGCAAACAACACATGCCACCAAACTCACAAACATCTATCATTGGTTTAGCCAGCAAAGAAAATAGTAGTGTTCCCAATGAACGGAGAGGAAGATCAATTTTATCTCCTTCTGCTGCGAGGCAGAAAGGACATCAGAACCTGGCAATCTAGGTGCAGAATAATTTTTTTCCCTTTTTAAATCTTGAGTGGCTAATCAGGCTTGAAGGCATTTCCAAGGCCTGGCACTGGCCTACTTCAGGACCTTGGTTCTTTACCAATCTTCAGATTAGGGACAGGAAATCATTACTGAGCATGACCCGAATTCTACCCAGATGGTATCGTCAGGCACTGGCACAATGCTGGAAAATCGTGTTTCCCACTAAAATGGGCATGAGGGAGTCTCCTGCTGGCTGCCTTCAACTTGCTAGAAAGTGACTCAGGGCCCCCAGCAGTAGAGGGATCTGATGTTCAGGGACGGCATGCTGGGATGTTTCCAACCAGCCGGCTGTTTCATAGGAAAGTTCTTGGTGGAGGAAGATAAATTACAGTCTCCTCAACTTCCTAAAAATACCCAGAACTACTATTACAAGATACCAGCTTGGGTACTGAGCATAATAACTACACTTTGGGGAAGAATGGCTGAACGGAGAATCACAGGACATTTTCTAACTGCCCTGAATAATATGTGCGTATACAGTGTCTCTGTCCCAGATAATTTAATATGGTAGGTGACAATTTTCATATCCTAATTTGACTCTTGTAAGTTGAATCCTTGGATCCTTGGAAAAGTACAGGGGCAACTAGGTGGCACAGTGGATAGAGCACCGCCCTGAAGTCAGGAGGACCTGAGTTCAAATTTGACCTCAGACACTTGACACTTACTAGCTTTGTGACCCTGGGCAAGTCACTTAACCCCAATTGCCTAAAAAATTTAAAAAAAAAAAGTACAGAATAAAACCTTAATAAAAACCTAGGGTGAGGATAGAGCTTGTAGTACTTAACATGGGATCTATGAACTTATTTAATATTTTGGTAACTGTATTTCAATGTAACTGATTTCCTGTCTACTCCTACCTGTTTTATGTATCTAAAAATATAATTCTGAGAAGGGATCCATAGGTTTCACCACACTGCCAAAGGAGGTCATGACACAAAAAAAGGTTAAGAACCCTTGCCTTACAGCAAAAACTGAAAGGATAAGGAAAAGAAGTAAAAAAAGATTAAGTTGAGTTGATATTCTAGAAGAGATGGTACTGGGTGAAAAGGTATATTGGTGAGTCTGCATGGACAAACCAATATTTTGCCCAGAAGAAACATTGGAAACAAGAATTAGGGAAAAAAAAACCCAAACCTCAGAACAATTATAGTTTTGTGTTTGTGGCTTATAAATAGCAGATTCATTTCAGTTCCAATATTCTCATTTAAAAAAGAGGAAAGATTATAAAAGGAAAGATAACCCAGTACTAATTCTTATTGATACTGTGGAATAATGAGAAGAGAAAGAAGTAATTTTTTGCCCTCACACTGTCTACATCAAGGTCAATATGATTCTAGCTTAGGGATAGCAATTATAGTGGGTGTTTGATACATGTCTGTTAAATTAAACTCAATCCCAAAGCCAGGAAATCCTGAAGAGACTGCGCCAATCCTGAATTATAAATGGTGGTTCAAATCGGTTTTTCAAATAAAGGCTGAAGAACAAGGTTCTTGCTTATAATGGTTTCTTCCTCTTCCTCCTTACTTTCCCAAATCCTTAGAAAGTCTCTGGGAATAGTCTAAACTCAGCCTAAAACCATTTAAGGTTGGCAAAATTCAAAGCCATATCCAGTGAGGGCGGAGGAAGAATTGACTGAGCTCCCAGGGTGGAGGATGTGACCAAACACTCCTCTTGTCTATTTTCTACTTAAGGTCTCACTTCCTTCAATGTATGGAAATGCTATCTGCCCATGGGTATTCTAATATAATGGAAAAGATTTTGGGGGGATCTCAGTTTCTGAAAAGAGCATAATGCGATGCATACAAACAACCCTGAAACTGAACTCAGAAATTAATGTGATTCATTCTAGTGGATGATCTACTGAGAGAAGCTAATATTGGACCAAACGGCAAAGTGAAATACAATGAATTTATCCATATGATCACCCTTCCTGCACCAGACTACTGAACTGGATATCTATGGATACAAGGAAGAGTCATTTTTTAAATCTGAAAACTTCCGATACTCAATTGGATTTTTATAAAATCTATCCCTTTTACTTTTCGGGGAGTGGTAGTGTCATATGTAGAGTGCTACCTTATGTCCCTGCTGCAGCCACAAGGACTTGTCTGTAATGATACAAATAAAATTATTTTAACTGTGCCATGACCTTGAGTCCACTTAAATGGGGCCATCTAATTAAAGACCAAAATGGGAATTAGGTGGAGAAGTTGATAAGAGTGCTGGGCCTGGAGTCAGGAAGACTGCTCTCCTTGAACTCAAATGTGGCCTTAGACATTTAACAGCTGTGTGACCTTGTTAAGCAAATCACTTAACCCTGTTTGCCTCAGTTTCCTCATCTGTAAAATGAGATAGAAAAAAAAAATGACAAACCACTCCAGTATCCTTGCCAAGAAAACCCCAAGTGAAGTCATGAAGAGTCAGACACAACTGAAAAATAACTGATTAAATACCAAATATTACCTTTAAAGCTCAGTGACTATCTTCCAAATGAAAAGAAAAATTCACTGCCACTACAGCGTTTAGTTAAAATATTCTTGGTGAGGTTTCATGTTGAGGTTTCACAGGGTCAGGCACATATTTCCAGTCCCTATCTTTCCTATGTATCATAATTTCAGCATATTCCTCAACACACATATACACATAAAAGTAGTCACTGATGTGGAAAACTACTAGCTAAGCAGAGGAAAACAGTGTAATAATTAAGTTGATATACTAAGGTTCCACTACAGATAGAACATGCTGAAATCCATGAACATCCTACACAAACTTTAAAAAAATTTTTTTTCTGACACTTCCAAAAACTCGAAGCACTTGACACTACCGACTATTAGAAGCATGAGCTTTGAGGGAAACTGATCATTTCACTACCTTAGAGAGGTTCATTAAACACCCCAAGAGCTTGACTGTTTTTATTTTTCATCATCCAAGGATGTGGAGCTCCTCTCTCTCCTACACACCTCAAAACTTGATAAGCTCTTCTCTTCGTTAAGGACAACCCCACTAAATGTGCCTTTGACACAACCTACTTAGGGAGCTTGTGCCTTCGATCACTTATTTCTCCAACTCTCCAATCCTTAATCTCTCTCTAGCTAATAGCTCCTTATCCACTAGTTATAACCTTTTCTATTAAAAAAAGAAAAAAAAGCCTTCCCTGGACCCCAATCATCTCAAGCTCTCTCTCCTCCCTTTCACAGATAGAACTCATAAAGATGGTAAGGTACATGTTCTCCCTTGCCACCCACACTTCTCAACCCCCTGCTATCTGGCTTCTAATACCATAACTATGGAAACTAGAGTACTTAAGGGCTATTAATACTCAGTGGTTAAACTCTGACCTTTTCTCAGTCTTCATCCTGACTTTTCTGGAGCTTCTAACACTATTTTGCCTCTTCCTTTCTGGATACTTTTCCCCAACTTGGCATCCACAACTTGCTGTCTCCTATCAATCTGGACACTTCTCAATCTCTTTGTGGGATTACCTTTTAATTTTTACTCCATAAACACGGGCATTCCAAGGTCTTGCCTTGGTGAACTCAGTTGTTCTGTGATTTTATCATCTTTGCTCTGATGAGTATTATATATCTACATTCACCCCTATGTAGAACATTCACACGGTCCAGTGGAATTTCAACTTGTTTAAAAAAGAACTCTTCCTCAATTTTTCCTATTTGGCCTAATTTCTCCTTTCTCCAATCTATCCTTTGCCTATTTGCTATAAAATAATCTTCCTAAGGCATAGCTATGCATGACCACTACTTTCTTGTGTTTGGTAACTTTACAGCCTTTTCAGGATAAACACAAAACCCAGCTTCTAGTCTGTCATTTAAAGTTCTCCACAACAAAGCTCCGACCCTCTCTAGACTCATCTTCTTTTCTGTGTTGTAGCCAAACTCTATCACTTGTTTTTCTTCAAAGTTGGCCTTGTCCTCTTGAAAGCATGTCCTCTCCAATCCCTGGGAGGTAGCCCTTCTTCTCTGCCTTTGAGATTCCTTGTGTGACCTTCAAGGCCCAGTTCAGGTGCCACCCGCTTTGCATAACAGTCTCTGATCCTATCCTTCCGCTTGATGTTCCTCCTCAAACATTCCAAATGGACTGTCTGGATTTCTCCTTTGCCCCCTTTAGTCTTTACTGTCTTAGAATTATTTCTGTAACATTTTATAACCTGCTTCTCTGCCTATAGTAGAATATAATCTCCTTGAACATAGCTGTGTCAAGAACAGTGCCAATCACATCAAATTGCACTGAAACTTTTAGGATGCTCTAGTGCTAAACACACAGAAGATACTTAATAAATACTAAATTTATGAGAACTCAGGTCCCTTTTTCACTAGATTATACCATAGGGCCCTTAAGAGTCATATGGAACTCTGGAACCTTCTCATGTTCATACTGTTTAAGCTATTCCAAATGGATGTACCAACTCCAGAAGATCTCTCAAAGATTCTAAGACATTAAAAACAAAAATCTCTGTCCCCTCTCTCCCCTAACAAAAAAACTTGCTACACTGCCCATATCCTATTCTTACACTAAATCACAGAACTGCATATGGTCTACTTATTTTCTTGTGTCATTTACAGAAGAGTGGTGGTACTCTTTAACTATTCAAAGTATGGGTGGAATGAGTTAAAAAAATGACTATCATGGTATTTAGAGCTGGGAAGAAGCCTAGAGTCAAGTCAAATCATTTCATTTTAAAGGATGAGAAAACTGAGGCCTTGGTAGGGAAAGCAACTGGCCCAAGGTCATGTGGGTAATTAGTAGTAGAGCTAGGATTTATTTACACCCAGGTCATATGGACTCCAAATCCAGGGCTCTTTCCACTGCACCACATTCTTCACCAGTCATATTACAATAACAGGGAAAAGGATGCTTGCATATTTCTTACTTACCACATAGCCATTTATGGCAAAATTGCCTTTCTTTTAAATCTCTGGTTCTTTGGAAAGATTATCACCTTATATGCCCAACAGTATATTTTACAGAAGACAATTAACTGAATGCTTTTTTTTAATTACATCTAAAGATCTCTACATAAACAGGTAACATTCAATAGGTAAACAATTTTTTCCAATGCATGTAATAAATATTTTCACTTGGTACTTTTATACAAACTGACATTGGTCTACTATACATTTTTAAAAGCCATTTTACTGGTTTGGCATGCGGTATGGAAACTCTAAGAGAGAAATTTTTAAGGCAATGAGTCACAGATTTAAGTTCATGGAATTTATGGTAACTTTTCTATTTGTTTATATACATTTCCCTTTGTTAAACAATTAACAGCAGCACTCTGGGACCACCAGCTATTCTCCAACCCCCTTTTGCATCTAAACTGTGTTTTTTATTTTTTTCTAAAGAATTTAACAACACTTACATTGATAAAACAAAATTTTTCCTAAAATAATTTTAAATGTGCTTTAAAACCTTGAAATGCTGAATGTATTTAAAATTGAATTTTAATAAAATTCTTTCCACAGTTACTAATTTTAAAACTGGGCTATGACTCCAACCAGTTTCAGAAATCCAAGCAAATCACACTCTTAGGAGGCTTAGGTAAATCTTTGTTAAATAGGTAAGGATCTAGAATAAGAAATCTTTTAATGCTCAAAATAAATTATCATCAACCAGCATGGTTAAAGTTCAGATCTGGTTTGTAAAAGATGTATCCAATAATGCCCACAAAAGCAATTAAAAGCCATTTCAACCCTGCTATTCAAAAAAAGTTATTTACTCATATTTGTGTGCATATATACATACACACATATAGTATTTTACATAAACACATATACAGACACACAAACACACACACCTACTGTGAAAGACTCAGGCAACAGGGATGGGAGCCAAATGTCTAAAGATCAGAGTTACTGAATCTGTTCAGACAATTCACCAAAGTTAAAAGAATCAGACAAAACTTTGAATTACTTTTTTGACCTCTTTCTGAGACAGAAGTACAGTGTGATATGACTAATACTTTTTTTTTTATACTGAACTGAAAGGGTCAGCAACATACTGAGATCTGATAGTAAATAAAAATTGCTATCAAATGCAACATTAAAAAAAATTCAACACAAGAAAAATAAAACCAAGTACAGTGGAATGAACACCAATACTCAAAGGTAAAAGAAGGGTTAATTTCTTTTGTGAAAGCATTGAAGGAAAGTAAAAGGTGAATGAAAATGTACTCCACCTCCCCTCCCCCCCATTTTCTGCCCTTGTTTATTTAGGTCTGAAGCAATATTTGGGACTGAGGGACATGGAACCTAACAGATAATCTTGCTGAATAAATGTTGAGTGGTTTTCATCTCTTATCCAAAATGTTTGTAATTCAGTTCCATACGCAAAGGTAGTGCTGAAAACTTAAAAAAAAAAAGCGCCTTTAAATTTACCTTAAAAATAGTTAAATTAATGGAAACATGTGCTTTATTATAATGTGAAATAAGAACTCCCCATATGTTTTGCCATCATTTCTACCCCAAGGTCAAATTTAGAAATATATTATGATTTTATTACTAAATATATTAGTCTAAATGAATAAGCCAGCAATATTTCTAAAAAGTGTTTAAACAAACACCTCAATACCAGATTCAGTTTATAACTGAAGTATTTCCCATTTTATGATGTTTTATTTTAACTGACATTTAATAGACTTTTATTATAAACGGTCATATAGTGAATATAACTCAGCCAGTTATGTGTGGAATACACATGCTCAGGGGAAGACTATTTAACTCACTTGTAGCTCACACACACTTATCTATAAATACATATATACACACACATATACATATAAACACAAACATTTTGTTTCTTTTTTTTTTTTCCCCAAATTCAAGTCAACAATTTAGTGGCAGAGGGAGGCTGTAAAAACACAAAGACTATTTTTAGATGCTACATATTCATGTGAACCAATACATTTATCATACAACTGATCATACAGCAAACTTGACATCTACCTGAATGAAAGTAGGTCATTTTGTTATCAATGCAAGGTTTAAAAAGACAACTTCATACACAAAAGGTGGTCCTTGATCAACTGTGAAAACAACTAGCTGACATCAAGTGTTCGAACATAAAAACCCAGACTGGAAAACTGGCAAATTTAATATTCCTTGTCTTTCCTGATAAACTTATTCCCTGCACTCTCAACCAGCTAGAAAAATATTCTGTACATCAGAGAATATCATATCTTCTCTGATGGTGACTTTGGGACACAAGTAGAATCACTTTTCCCCCTTCAGTTTTTCTTTACCACCCCCCCCCCACCCCTGCCCCTTTTCTGAGAAACAGCTTTCAATCTATTTACACATTCCACTATTTAATAAGAATGGTTCAGGCCAATTGATTCCATAGTTTTATAAAATGTCTTTCCTATGTCATGCATGTCTTGAAAAGGTGAATAAAAATAAAGTCAAAAAAATAAAATGAAAGAAAACTTAAATGACGGGCATTAAATTTGGCCCAAAGCTTAAGAACAGAAGCATACTGACAGCCATAAATTAAAAGTGACAAAGTAAAAAACATTATGATCTTCGAATCCTTTATCAAATAGAGGATTTCTACAAGATGAGACATATTGGGTGCTACAGAATTATTTTCCAAAAAGCACTTACTTTTAGAATTATTTCTCTTAATTTTTTTTTTTTTGATGCTGCACCATGACCTCCTTTAGCTGCACAAACCAAGCAACCAATGTAAGCATTTTAAATTATTTTTACTTCCTTAGCCTGGTGAAAACTTTTTTTCATGAAAACTTGTTACCCTTTTCACCAAAGCAGGTGTTCACAGACTACATAAGTAATAATTTTGGAAACCTCGAAGAGTTCCAACTTCTAACATTCTGACTTAAGAGTCAGAATGAAAGTATGTCAGTCCTTTTCAGGTTAAGACGCTCTTCATAGGCCCACTAAAGCCTTTTTGTTTTTTTGCCCAGTCAGCTTTACCCTGGTTTCTTCAAAAGGAAATATTTAGTGTGTGCAGCAGATAGAAGTATGTGATGGAATACAAGCAACTGGAATAGCCTGCAAAGATTCTTAAATGTCAATTTTAAGATCTTTAACATGTTTGGGGAAATGCAAAAGTTGATATTCCAACAGAATACAAACTTGGATAAAATCAGAAGTGACAAGAACACATACTAACACTAACACACACTCCCATAAGCTATATTCTGAAACACAGAGGGAATGAATGCACCAGGACAGATGAGATTTATATAACTTAAGGTTGGGTAAAATCTATGCAAAACACAGAACTCAACTCTGCCATTATCAGGAAATGGCATTTTTTTAAAGGTGTTTTTCCGTCTAAAAAAACAAAAAACAAAAACAAAACTGTCTACAATTTAAGATTTCATACATGCAATTCCTTTTCTGTTACTGCAAAGAAAATAATGTCTTTTATGTCCAAACTACAAAAATAAAACCACAGGACAAATGTAAATGTTGAAAACAAAATCTTCAGAATCCAGTAAAATGAATAGAAGGTGGTTTGTGGGTGGCTGTTTTTTTCTTTTTCTTTTTTTTTTTTCACGTGTTTTACCAGACAGGCAGTCTTAGGTTTATATACAAAAGTAAAACTGAAAATATAGTTTTGTTCTCTGTACATTTCTTTTAATTTTTTTCCCTAAAAAAAGGAAAAAAAACCACACACTTGTGTACGTTTCTGAACAGAATAAAGTAAAACAGAGCACAAAGTTCTCTTCTTTCTGCCAAGTTCATTGAGTCTGGGGGGTGGGAGAGAGAAGGAGAGGGGAAATCAGTCCAATGAGATAATGTCCGGTATGATGCCAAAGATTGATGCTGTGTCTGTGCCGCTTCTATTGGCAACGGCATGGCCATGACTTTCTCGCAGGCTGTTAGAAGAAACAAGACTGCTGTTACTGCCACTACTGCTTCCATTCGTGGTTGGAAGGGCAGTGCTACCTCCTGCATTTAACTGATCAAGAAACATCTGTGAAGAGGCATATGGAAAAAAGCGAGACGAGTGTAAAAGGTCTTGATCATCCGAGACAGCTGCTGCTGCAGCGGCAAGAAGGGAGGTGTTGTAATGCTAGGAAAAAAAAAAGACAAATAATTTAAAATTATACTTCTGAATTATTAAGTTTCCTTCCTAGCAGCACAAACTTTAAGTAGAAAATTGAAATAAATTATAAATCTCTGAATGTTCCTTAGTAAGACAATTAGTACAATCAAGTGAATTTATGTAGTAGTAATCATTTATCTCTGGAGAACTTGATTTCTGAAACCACAAGAAAACTGGAAGTAAAAGCATCAGTGCTCTTTATTCCAATGCAGAAAGCAATCAAATCTCAAAAAATCAAATTATAAAGCAGAGCATTATAGTCCTCCCTCCTTGTGAGGAGACATTCATTGGCTATGAAATTTATCAGTCACAATAATTTGCTATCTATTGGCATGACATGAAGCAGTACTGGAAAAAGGCTGCAAGTAAGAATTACTTTTACTACACCTTTTAAACACAAGTGAAACAAAAATTCTGAAGTACTGCCCTTTAAAAATGAGGGTTGTGGTATGTGGTACTACCATTTTAGAACCTTCCAAGGAAAGCCATTTTATTTCAAATGTAATAGTTATACTTTTAATAAAAAGAAATAATTTGTAGAGAAAATGAACAGAGTAATTTTTTTCTACAACATACCTGATTGTCTCCTGATAAGAAGGGAAAGAAATCTAAACCTGTTAAGAATAAAAGTAAAATGTTATTATCTTTAAAGACAAACAAAATTAAACATTTTAAAATGTCTTTAAATTAAAAAAATATTATCTCATTATATTCAAGCTCTTTAATAAATACCATCAAAATCATATATAGGACTGTCCCAAAAGTTTTATTGCAGTCAGAAGACATTCAAACTGCACTAAGACTTTTGCAATACCCTGTATAAAATGTGAGCAAATACATTGTATAAGACTTTATATTCTTATTCTCTAAAAGGTTGTTGAAGGTCACCAGGCTTCAATGCAAATTAAAGAAATTAAAAAAAAAAAAATCAATTTTCACCCATATACTGCTTTTCTTAGTCCTTTCTGGGTACTTAAAGCAAGTATTACTCCTTAGTTATCCAGAGGTACAGGGGGTGGGAATACAGTATCAGGGATTACACGAAAGTTTTGTACAAGAAAATTTGTGTTACACTAGCTGCCTTACTCCTGTACAGGGTTCAAAATAATGGCAGGAGTAATTAGTAATTACAAAAAGTTACCACCTGTCCACCAAGGCCTCCTTCTCTCTAAACTGGCATATACTTTTCTTTATGCCTGTTCTCACCCTAATTTGGAATTCAAAAGAGAGTAGCTGAAGAAAAAGTGAATAAACATCCATCAAACATAAAATACTGAAGTCACAATTTGGGGGAGAGGCGGGACAGGAGCATACCCAAGACAACTGACAAAGAATTTTCCAGAAAACCAGGATTTTTTTTTAGTTGGTTGACAGATACGCATATGAAACACCATTAATACGTAAATGTGACAAAGATACAATGTAATCTAGGAAGCAAAATCTCCCATTCTGTCCTCTTATATTCCCCGATTTTTCCATGCAGTCTAGGCACTATGGTAACATGTCTCTAGAGTTGATTAGTAAAAAGTTGCCTCACAAAAAGTAGTAAGGACAAAGCTCTAACTAGATAAAGACCCTAGCTGCATTTTGGAAGATAAAAAGAAATATTCAAAGAATCCTTCAACAAATATATTATTCTGAATTTTCTTTTAGCAGGTTTCAAGGCCTTAATTTTTAAGTAAAAGGCATTATGAGTTTTAGAAGAAGACACTTTGGGTAAGTGGTTTGATTTTTCTTGACTTTATGAAATATATAAACCTTTCCAAAGGTAACACTAAATAAGAGGATAGATTGTTTTTGGCAGAATCCCAATTAATTGTGTCTTGATATAAATTATTTGGCTTGATCTTTTCTAATCTGCGGTCCTAGAAATTATAAGATTTGGAGAACACCGTTAATCTAGTAATCACACTCAATCACTTAACTTTAAAATGTAGTCGTGGAAATAACTTAGTATTTATTCAGAATAAGAGCCAGATCAGCCACATGGAACAAAATCAAGTAAAGTTAAAAACATTTATTCTAGCTACTATTTAAAATTATATTCTACACAATCAGAAAAAGATAACCACCTATAGCAACATTATCTAAACTATTTGATTGAAAATTCAGATTTATAACTCTAAATGATAAAATATTTTTAGGAGACTGTATATACAGCTTGCTGTTTCTTTGAGGATTTGCAAATAACTGTTCCTTCCAAAAGCTGGTCACAATACCCATTCTGGTTATAGTGGCCACAGTTGGATGGTACAGAAATGTACCCATGCCCAATTTTACAGTGGAAGTGCAGAAACTTACTGGCTCATTTGATCTAAAGCTTTAAATATTTTGCAACTTTCCAATTCTTCCTTATGCTCATTCAGAAGAGGATTATTTGCATCTGCTTTACCCACAATTTTATTTTTGCAAATATAGGTATAACCTACCTTGCAAGTCATAAGGCATGGGAGTCATGTGGAATGGGTGCCTGTAGTCTTGTATGAGGGATGTATTAATGTAGCTTGTGTCTACAGCAGGAAGGCTTGGGGTCCTTGACACTGGAGATGCTTGATGAGGCAGACTTAAAATGCTAAAAGAAAGAAAAGTTTCCGCAGTTCAAGTCACTCAAATTTCCTGTTGATTGAGAATAGCCTGAAATACAAGTTCTTTTTGCTTTAAAAGCTTACTCAGTGAACCCTACAGTACTTCAGAGGTTGTAGGGAGAAAGAAACAGGTGTAATGGTAATAAACAGCACGGTACTTCATGTCTGAGGCACGAATATAAAATGGTATCCCTCTAACCTAATGGCACACCATTTTTGGGAAAATATACACTTAAGTCATGTTTTTTCCTATGCCCCTTAGTTTTGTGCACCTAAGGCAAATGCCTCAATTGTCTTGCCCTTGTTATAGCTCTAATAATAAACACTCACACACATCACTAACCAGATATTAAAAAGGCAGAACCTACACTTAAGAGTAGGCAAGGGAAAATGCAATTGTGATGTCTCCATGGGGTATTTAGTGAAAAACATTAAGATTAAAAGTAAGTTTTGAGACAAAAGAAAACAGGCTTGGTGGCTAAGAAAGCAGAGGTTTTCTTGTTTTTTGGGTTTTTTTTGGTAGATTAGTTGTGTCTGATTCTTTGTGACCCCATTTGGATTTTTCCTGGCAAAGATACTGAAGTCTGCCATTTCTCTCTTCAACTCATTTTACAGAAGAGGAAACTGAGGTAAATAGGATTAAGTGTCTTGAACAGGGTCACAGAGCCAGTGAGCGTCTGAGGCCAGATATGAACTTAGTTCTTCCTAACTCCAGGCCTGGTACTCTATCATATACTGTGCCAACTAGCTGCCCAAAAGTACAGAATACTCCTGGAATAAAGCATGTTTTTGTAAAAAAACAAGACAAGAAAGTAACAAAGTGAATGATTAGCAGCCATGAGAGTGAAGAAATCAGCAAACACTGAAGGATGATGGAAAGTCCTGAAAGGGAGAACTAAAGGTCCAACAACAGAAAATAGGAGAGAAGACACTACAAGAAGATTAGAGTTTAAATGGCTGAATTATAAGAAGTTCTCCTCATCCTGTTCTTCCCCCTCACCCCAGTTAAGAATTAAAGAGGGAAGAAATGTTAGAATTTGAGATGAAACAGACAAAACTGAACCAAAAAAGTGTTGGAGCCAAAGTTATTGGAACAGGCAAAGAAAGGTACTGCCTCACTCAGGCAGTCTTACTTGATGAAACAGGGATACAGAGTAATACAATTTCAGTAGTACAAGCTGTTATGTAAGACCTTAAACTCTAGCCAGCTATTCTTTGTTTCCAGGAAAAGAATCCTAGTTACAAGACTTTACCACATTTTTATGAATTGCAGATGAAGCATAAAACATTCTTTCCTCCTCTTCATTAAAATGTACTGTCTGATGGGAACTTTAATTAAACCTCTTCAGTCTATCACAAGTAACATTTTCCCATTAGCTAGCTCCTTTGACAGTACTTAAGGGATTAAAAGGAAAAAAAAGTTGAAATGCCAATCTGGCATGGTGACAGAAAGGTATTAGAAATTTCTGTAAGACATATGAAACTGGAAAAGAATCAGTTACAAGAGATGGAAACAGAAAAGGTATTTTATTATATTCAGTTCAATGTACTTCCCTTTAATTCTTGGCAGTTTTCTTTCTTTCACAATGTACAGGAATACTAGAACAATCAATACATTAGACTGAGTTCTCCTGTTAACTGCTAATCCATTAGAGTAACTTGGGTAAGCTTTAGTATGGTAACAAGGAGTTATATGACCTCTAAAGTTATCACACATATTCACAGTTTCAAATCTGATATTAGATAGATCTGTTGTACAGACACTAATGTGGAGCCACCCAATCCCTGAGCAACTGAGGAAGTGGTTCATGCAGTAAATTATTTTTTCAAAGAATAAACATGGTGCTTTTGGGGGGGAGAAATAAAGAAAATAAAATCCTAAAAAAAAGGCTTGGAAATCAAACTGCATAAATCATTTAAAGGGAAAAATATCCAGTTTAATGATACTAATGAATATTTTGTCAAATCAGTGCATGTATTTGCACATGAACATTTTTAAAAATGGAATTTACTTCATACAAAATAATACATATCTATGCGCAAACATGTATACACGTTTTAAAAGTCATAGTTGCTAACACTGAAGAAATAAAATGATACCCCTTTACATTCTTTTCAGACACTGTGGTTTTAGAATATGCATTTGGTTACACTATGGTTTTATGTTAAATAGAAATATCCTACCATAAAAGCTTTGCAGGTTATTTGTTTAAACTATGCTAGCCATAGGCACGCTGAAATTCAATGTTGTTTTCTTTTCTACTTACACAAATCAATAAAATAAGTTTCTCATAAGTCTTACTAGCCGAAGTTAATACCCATGAAGAAAGCAGAAACACAAAAGATTCAAAGAAGCAAAATAATATGCATATCCACTCTGTTTAACATAATTCTATTGCTTTAAATGTCTCTAACTTCTATTTTTTAAGGGACTGATAAGTTACTTTGGGATGAAATTGTTCTGTGTATCAAACTTTGTTGTAATAATCACTGAAGTGTTGTGAAATATTCTGTATCCTTTATGACTTGGGAAATAGCACAAATCTACCTAGACCACAATATTGCTTTTTTTGTTGGTACCAATTCATCTTGATCATAAAGGAATCTTTATATGTAATAATTGCAAATATGGCCAAATATGAAATTTTTTGAGAAATGCTGATCTTTAATATTAAACATAGAAATGACTTCAATTTAGTGATACCTCATGTCATGAAATAACATATATTTCCTTTTTTCTCTGGCAATTCCCTCTAAGTCTCCCGTCTGATAACCAGCAAGAAGTACTGAAAACCTCTGTGCCACATCATTGCTGAAGGCTGCCCCTCTGACAACACATTATCTGCCTCACCTTTCCCTCTAGGCCAGACCTCATGGCACACTTTGCTTACGTCATTTTCATAATAAAATCTATTAAAACATGTCATATGTATTTTGTACTGTAGCTATTAGTGAATCAAAAGCATGCTTCACCACAGAAGCAAATGTGCTGGTTCCATAGGAAAATGGGACAGACAGCCTCAGTGGTATTATGAGATTCTTGAAGTAGTAAAACAATGAGAAGAATGTACAATAGGATGTTTATAAAAACAAATAATACCTAGAATTTGTTTCAAGGTTTGCAAAGTGCTTTACATTTGTTAACTCATTTGAACACCCCTGATAACAAAGGCACAGGAAGAGAGAATGCAATCTGCATTAAAGGAAAAGGTGCCCATCTGTACTGCTTCAATTATGGATACCAAAAAAGGTTAGTTTGGTACATGTGATATCCCCCTACTAGAATGCTTCACAAGGACAGAGCCATTGTCACCCAAAACTGACAATAACCAAGACCTAGCACAAAGGTTTGAACTTAGGAAGTAATAAGTATGCTCTGGGTATAGAGAAGTGAAACTGGAGGGAAGGCTGAGGTGAGGGAGGTGAGTTTGGGCAAGGTCAGGTTTAGGTCCAAGAACAAGTCTGGCAATGAACTTGGTCATTCAAGGGAAGCAACAGGAACTAGATTTCTTATTCATCCAAACCTTGTTTCGTACGGAATATATCATACCTATAGCTGGGGCAGACTGATGAGGGGATCTGTGCCCAGGTGGGGCTTTCCAGAGTGAAGGTATAGTGCCCTTGGTCATGGGAGCAAGTTCAGAAACAAACAAGATCTGTGAGGCTCCAATCCCAAGAGTGGACTGGGGTTACAGGTCCAGCTTCTAGCCCAGTCTGAAGGCTGCAGAGGAATAACTAGAGCAGGAATCCCAGACCAAAGGGAAGCCCATAGCTCTGTCATTCTGAACCAGCAGAGCTTTCCAACTGGTTGAGAATGGCCACATCCACCAGCAGTCTATGGAAATTCCAAAAGAGGCAAGCCCAAAGACCTTGTTCTCAGATCCAAACTCAGGTCAGGAACTTGCAGAGTTCAGACTGGGGGGTGGGTGAGATGTGGGAGTAACAATCAGATTTTGCCTTGGATCAGACCACTTTGGGCGTACCAAAAACTTGTAGGTCCCCCGCCAGAGCTGTCCCTGAGATCCTGGAATAACACACCTTGTCAATACCCCAAGAAAACAACAGTTGGATCAGCTCAGACATTTTCTCTGGAAACATTTAAAGCCTGGCCCTAACAAAGTCCAAAGTCCAAAAAAAAATCTCACTATAAAATGCTTTCAAGGTGATAGAGATGTTCAAGACACAAACCTCACAGAAGAATGACTCCAAAACATCTATAAGCAAAGTCTCAAAGAAAAACTCAGCTTGGGCACCAATTAAACTAGAATTGTTAGAAGATATGAAGCAAGAATTTAAAAATAAAAACACTAGAGGAAAAAACTGGAAAATAAATGAGAACCATGGAAGAAAAATTACAAACAGAATTAGCAGTTTAGACCAACCATAAGTGTGCAAGACTAATGATGAAACATGTTCCCCACCTCCTAACAGAGGTAAAAGTGAAAGACTCCAAGAATGAGACAGACCGAGACATATTCTTCACATGGCACAATGCATAAATTTGTTTTGCTTGACTATATATGTTTGTAATAGGAATTTTGTTTTTCATTCTTTCTCAACGAGTAGGGTGCTAGGAAGGACAGAATATGGATTTTTGCCAATCAAAATTTTAAAAAATAAAAACAAAACCTGCACACCCTGGCTGTTTTGATTATGTTTATAGTGTTAAAAAGGCAGTTAAAAATTTCAACTATGTGTAGTGGTAGTAACAAAACTGTTGAGCATACACTAGAGTAAAAGGAAAAGGCAACTCCAGAATTTTCAGCTAACCAAGACCTGAGTAAACATCACCATAAATATTGACAACTAATTAAAGGAAATTATGGTAAACAAATCTGGAAAACAGGAAGTGATATGTGCATCTTTACACAGCTATTAGTGTTCCTTTTGCTCACCAACTCCTCGAACAGCTGTCATTCATTCTCTGCCTTACCAAACCTGCTGATCATTTGAGGCCCCAGATGGCTGAGCTACAATTTTTTTTTAA